AGACCTGGGCCCAGGAAGAGTCCCTCTCTGCTGTGGCCCTTGTCTCCTTTGGATGGGAACAGCAATGCTGCCCTCACCCTTTTAGACTGAGGCCCCCAGTGAGATTTAGATGAACTGCAAATTTTTGGCCATTCATCCCAGACCTCAGTGTTGAGCTGTGTCCCAGTTTACTGGCAGGGCCTGAGTCCTGGAACATGACCCTGGCTTTTGGGGTACCTCTAGTTACTGTCCCTACCACCAGAGGCTGACACACAAGTGGGCCTGCATCTCCTCAGCCTTGATGGTGTTGGCTTCGGGCTCACACTTGCAGGGGCTGGTTTAGACTAGGGGAGTAGAGCCTTTCAGCCTTGAAAGGCCCTCCCTACCCTCCCAAGTCCAGGCCAGGACAGCTGGAACAGGGCCTTATCGCTGCTCCCACCAGAAGGTCCATGTCCCTGGGCTCTTCCCAGCCAGGCTGCCTCTCATTGAGCATCTCTCCAGGGCCTGAGACCCCCTGGTACTGGCAGGGGCTCCCCAGTGAAGGGATCTCTGGGGGTTGCTAGCAGCATCCTGGGGTGAGGCAGGGCTGACAGGATGAGTGGGTATATCCTTGAGCATCTACCATGAGCTAGACATGGTGGGTACCCGGCACACACAATTTCATGCTGAGTCCAGCACAATACTTTGGGACCAGACATCATATTGTTCCCAACCTCTAGATGAGGCCCGGAGAGTGGGTATCACTTGTTCTAGGCTACAAAGCAGGCAGGACTTACAGCATCTGTGCAGCTCCAGGTGGGCTCGRGTCCCAGGCGACCCTGATTGGGACAGCTCCCACCCCCACCTCCCCACAGGCTCTGATCCCCACAATCCTAGAGGCTGAGATTGTGCACAGTGGGTGTGGGTGTGGGTAGGCCTCACTTCTCCCCATCCTGCCCTTCCTCCACTCCACCCAGTGTCCTCCCATGACAGCCTGCAGCTGGCAGGGCTGGGTGCCACCCACATCCCTCCTGTCCCCTGCATGCTGGCTCCTCTCACCACCCCACCCCTCTCTGCTGTGAGTCACCCCTGCCAGAGAGCAGATGGGGGCATGAGAGTGAAACTTAGTGCTGGGGGCCTGGCGTGGGCCAGGGAACCTCCACTTCTCCACCCCTAACACCTCTTCACTCTGGATAAGGGAAAAGGAAATTATGGAGAATGACCAACAGAGATTCACTAAAAATGTCACCTCAGCTTGTCCTCTGGCCCTGTGATCATGACCTCTGAGTGCCATCCCTCAGGACATAGGAGTCCCTGGAACCGCACACTGGCCTGTCTTTGGGATGTCAAATGGAGACTGCCCCTCCTGCCCCCAGGCCCTCATCCTGGGCTTTTCAGACCTGCAGACATTGAACCACTCTCAGTCCTCATCTGTGACTTGTCTTCGTGCTGCAGGTGCAGTTGGGGCAGCCAGGATTTCCTAGCCACTGCCAAGTGTACCTCTCCGCTGCCCCCATAGACTTCTCTTTGTGCCTAACTCAGCTCAAGTGACCTCACTGGAAGTAGACCACCGGAAGGAAACCCCATGAGCTGACCCAGACTGAGGGACACCCCCTGAGGGAGCCCCAGGTGGCCTGAGGAGACACCACCTGAGGGAACCCCTCTCAGGGAACCCATTGCACAGGTTGCTGAGGGAGGGAGGCATGGCAGGTGAGGGGGACTCCATTTGAAGTCTCTCCCTGGCCACTTTGGCCTCTCAGGGCATACTGTAATTAAACAGGTTATTGCCTGTAACTTGCACAGAACAGATGGTGCCTGTTGTGTGGCAGGTGCTCCAGAAGGACAGTCACGTGCCTTGTGCCCGTGTCCTGGCCTTGAACAACTCGGGGCGGCCCCTATTCCTATCATCTTCAGGGTGACAGTAACAACCCAGAGGAGCCTCTGCTCCCCTCGTCAGCCCCTGGAAACTTCATGCCAAGTCCTCCAGGCCTGTAGGTCAGAAATGGCCATTCTTGGAGCTTTGTGGTCCCTGCTCCTGCAAGGTGGCTGGAGCCTTAGTTGATGTGATATCCAGGTGGGCACAGACATGAGTGGTTTGCTGTAGTCTGGCTTCTGCAGTAGGTGGGACCCACTGGGGTCTCACTCTGATTTTCAAAAGGCTGTGAGGTGAAGGAGAAGGGTAGCCTTTTCGCAACCCTCACCTGTTCTTTTAGAGTGTTGGGCTGTCGCCTCTTCTTCCGTCACATTGGCCTTGCTGCCCCTATGGCAGCATTTGCAGGAGTGAACATTTGCAGTGTGTGGAGGCTACAGCCTCTAGGCACACACCACCCACCAGCCCACAGAGGAGCATAGAATGCAAACCGAGGGCTTCGTCACAGAGCCCATGAGCATCAAGAGAAGGCCTTGACTTTGAGGCCCCGCTCTGCTTGGTGCATGGGGGTGTCTTCTGCAGGAGCTACTGATAACCCTGCCATGAGTCATCAGCGTGGGTGTGCAGGGCTTGGCTGGGGCCACTTCCCTTCCCTTGTCCTTCTGTAGCCCCTGAGCCTTGCCCCCGCACTGGGCCCCATGCATACTGCTGACCTCAGGGGCACMCAAGATGTAGGTCTGGCAGAGCGGATGCCTCAGCAAGCCAGGGCTCTACACTGAGATCATGGCAGAATCACCTAGAAAAGCTTCCAGGCCTCGGCATTCCCCGAGGGTGGAATCTCGGGACGTTGTGCTATCATTAGAATTCAGGCAGGCAGGCGGATAATTGCAGGCTCCAGTTTAGCCTGATCTTTGAGTAAAATTGTTTTTGGCATTTTTTTGTTTTGGGTTTTTTTTTTTTTGATAAGTGCTTTTATGGGGGTATAAATGAACACTGTATTACATCTGTGGGATGTTTCTCTAGTAGGAGGAATAAATAGCACATCTTTTGCCCAAGTTGCTCTGAGCCAGCCCCCTTGGGGAGCAGGTGTGTAATGCGTGTGCACAAGTGTGTGTGTCTGCATATGTGTGAGTGTAGGACTGCTGCCAAAGTGAATGAGCCAGTCCATCTGTCAGTCACCTTTTTACTTAAATATAGACCCACACACACATGACCTTGCCTGGTTTGGGATGCAGTCTCACCACGACTGAGCAATTGGAAGGTGTGGATTCAGGATTTCCCTTTCTAAGCTTCGCATCAGAGAATGGGGTCGACACTTAAACTACTTCCAGGGTTGGCCATCACCAGATGGGCCTTTCAGTCCTGGAGACATTAGGTTCTTCTCTGTCTTTATCTGTGACTTGTCCTCATGACAGGTGTGGTTGGGGCAGCCAGAAGGTCCTCCCAGCTGTTGGCTGCACCTCTCCACCACCCCATAGACTTCTCTTTGTGAATAACTCAGCTGTGTTTCTGGGTGCCTTAGCTTCCATTTCAGCAGGGACTTGGGTGTTATGTTGGAAGCCAAGAACGGTGTTTGCTGTGGTAGATGTACAGGTGAGGGAGTGGGGATGTGGGGGCCTCTGGCAGCACGCTGGGATGGGGTTTGACTCCACCTACCTGGAGGCTTGGCTAGTCCCTCTGTTTGGGATACCAGGTGCCTGGGCTGAAAGCAGATGGGACCCAGGTGTGCAGGGCAGGGTGGCTCAAGGATCTGTCCTGGGGGAATGAAGGAAAGCCCTCTGGACACGTCCCAGAGACATGCCTGTTTGCAGGCACCGCTGCCCTGGGGAAAGGCACATACATATTTGCATGTCTGGCCTCCATCCCTACACTACGCCATGCTCGCTCCAGTGCAACTGACCAGAGATGCCTCGGCCAGGCCAGGTGGGTGATTTTCCCCTGTGCACCCTCTAGGGACCATAGGCCTGCAGACTGGTTTGAATGCCTTTTGAGCATCCTTTTTTAATTGGTACCTTCCCTCCTGTCCTGCTGATGGGGCTGGGAGGAGCTCCCAGCTTGGTAAAGGAGGACCTGTGATCCTGATTGGCATTTTAATTGTGTGCTCACCTACCCTGCTCAGCAGGGGTAGAGGTTCTAGACAGGTTCACCTCCTCCCCGTCTCATCAGGGAGTCAGCCTCTGTCCTGAGTGCTGAAAATCCACCTACCTTTCTTCACAGCTCCCCCCACACGTCTGTGGCTCAGTGATATGCCTGGTTTTGACCTTGATGTACGTTGAAGCACATCTTGGACACTCCTTGGTTGCTGCTTTTGTCCTGAGCACCATGTTGGGGGTTGGGGTGTGCTTGTGCACCATGGGTACAGCTGGGGGACTCTGTTTCCTTGCTGCACCATATTCTGTTGTCACCGCAGAGCCACAGTGGAGCACTCCCTTCTTCTGTCACATGTGGGTTTATGGTTTTTGCTATTACAATTTCCTTCAGCTTTTTAAATCCTCCTGGCACTTCTGTTGGAAGTTTCTGGCTAACAAATTGCTCCAATCTTTGAGGGTCCTGTGGAGGGACTGCTTGAGGGGGGGGGGATCCAGGTGCCCAATGACTGCTCATCTCTGGCCCACCCTCCCAGAGCCAGTCTAGACCCTGCACCTTGTGTGGGTGGGAGCCGTCGGTGGGCTCTGGGCTCTGAGGAGGACACGTTTCCCCCCTCCCAACCTGTCAAATGGGTTGTTCAGCACATCCCACCACTGTCTTGGAAGAACAAATTTGGTATCAGCAGAAAGTTCCAAAGAGTATGGAATTAGGACAAATAAGTGAAGGATTAAATCAGTGCACCATTAACACATGGCATTTCCTGTTCTTCGAATAATGCCTGGAAACTCTCAGCCCTCAGCTTAGTCTACCTACTGCCTCCCATGGGTGTCTCTGCCCCAGGCACCTGCAACTTGCCTTGCCCAGACCTGCAGCTGGTGGCCCGGCAGGTGCTCACACCCTGCTTCTCCCTTCAGCAGGTGAAGACAGCTGGACAGGCACCCCAGAGGCCAGGCCGTGGGTGGGCATGTCTCCATCCTCTCTTGTTTGGCAGCTGCTTCACACCCTCATGAGTCTATTCTGAAATGGAACCATGAGTCCCCAGCTAGTGGGGCACAAGGTGACACCTTGTCCTCTGTGTCCCCAGATCACCAGAAGCTGGAGAGAGAGGCTCGGATCTGCCGCCTGCTGAAGCATTCCAACATTGGTGAGCAGCCCCCAAGGAGGGCGGGGGGGGGGGCTGATATTTTTGACAAAACTCCTCAGGGTCTTTGGAACCCGGGTCTGATGGGCTGTCCAGGCCGCACTGGCTGGGCACATGGGGAGGGCTCCTGGGGGCCTGGGCTGAGCTGGTCCTGTCTTCAGCATCGGGACTGTTGACCTTTCCAGGAAAAAGGTAGGCAAGGGAGCCACCCAGTAGCCCTCCTGCCTGCATCTGGGTTAGATGGAGGCCAAGACTTTAACAGGGTCCTGGCCCCCAGCTGTGTCTTGGCCCTCAAAAAGCGCAGCAGCACTGTCTGCCAGTCTCCTTCCTGAAGCCCCAGACAAGTCCTATGTTTGGGTGATAAATAACAATTCTAGGAGCTGTTGAGCAGACCCCAGAAACCCAGCTGAGCAGTCCCTAGGAAGTTGGCTCATATCTCCCTGGGTCACTTGGTCTTGTCTGCCCATCACCTTCCCTGGCTCTGGCATCTGAAGAGCTTGGGAACTCAGCCCTTGCCCACACTGGGGAGTAGCTGGAAACACCTTGGAGGTAACAGCTGCTCTCTGCCAGTGGAGGGCTCAGGCTGGCCGCAGAGGCACCTAGAGTTTATTAAGTGGATTCCTGGGCCCCTCCCTCCAAAGCTTTATTCTCTTTTGCTAAGATAGGTCCCAGGAATCTGTGTTTAAAAGAAATACCCAGGGACTGTGAGAAGCAGCCAGTTTRGGAGCCTGGGACATCCACATTCCCTTCCAACCCGCTGAAGTAGAGAGGGAAGAGGAGGATCTGCCTTGGCCATGTTGGGTCCCGGTGGGCCACAGGGGCTCCAGGAGAGCTGGTGCTGGGAATCTCTGCTGCTGTCCTCTAGTATACAGGGCACCCTCAGTTTCCCCTTGTCCCAAACCAAGAGCTGAATGGGAAAGGCACATCTCCCATTTGTGGAGCTTCAGTAGATCACCAGCCTTGGTCCACAGTTTCTGAATCTCAGTCTCTCCATCTCAATCACAGAGTCTTGTTCTTACTGACAATGCAGATTCCTGGGCCTGCCCCAGAGAGTCCAACTCAAGAGGTCTGGGCAGGCTCAGGAGTCGGGATCTTAGTGCAGCATTTAAGCGGACTTCAGGCCCACTGGGCACCAGCAGCTCACTACTGGGCCCCCTTCCTGAGGATCCTGGAAGACATCACCTCCCACTCAACTCTGCCAGTACCCTTTCCCTTACTCCCCTGGTCCTGGCTCTCCATTTCTCCCCACTACTATGTCTGCTGAGCACCAACCAAGGGCAGGTCACCCTTCTGAGCGTATTTGAAGGAGTCCCTTTACTTAGAGGAGAGGACCAAGTGTTCTTTGGGTTGGCGTTTTTGAACACTTCTTCAGTAAGACATCTCTCTGCCCTGGCTGGATGCTGGTGTGGTTCCGGGTTGGATCTGAGCAGTGGATGGTCCCTGCTCCCAGTCTGTGCCAGGGGAGGAGTGACTATGGAGGTCCTTGCAGCGGCTTGAGTAGCTGGTTAGGGACTCAAGATCAGCACATTCCAGAACACAGAGGAGGCAGACCCAAGGCTGCAGGGGTCACACAGTCTTCTCTGTCGATCCAGAAACTCTCCGAGGAGTGGGAGGGAACACAAAGGGGAGACAAGAGGAACTTGTCCCTGGTGGGGTATCTTTAGCCTTCCCTCAGGGGCACCAGCCCCACCTCTGAGCAGAAAGCTGCTCACCGGCTCTTCTGGGCCACAAGAGCAGGTGCTGGGTGCAGTTCTGAGAGGGGCAGTTCTGCTCAGTGGCTAAGTCAGGCAGCAGCTGTGTGCCAGGCTGGGAGGGGCCTCAGTTTCCTCATTTGAACATGGAGATGTTCCTGCCTCTCTCCCAGGAATCTAGTAGGAGGAACTGGGATGATTCATAAGGGAAACTGGCATAAACTGTAAAGTCCCCTCTTTTCTGAGGCAGCCTGCTTGGAGTGAAAGGCAGAGGCCAGCCATAGCTCTGGGAGTAGACCCTTCATTTGTAGAAAGGCGTGTAAATCTCCCACCCCTTCATAGGGTGGTTTCACGAGTTTGTTGGCTCACCATGCGTCAGAACAAATGACCCCACAATCTGTGCCCCTCACACGGGTTAACAGCTTCTGTGCATCCAAGAGCAGTTCAGCAGACGGCAGGCCTGCCATACAACTTGTGGGATCCAGTACAAAATGTAGATGTGGGCCCTCTGCTCAGAAATTATTAAGAATTTCACCCAGGTGTGGTGACACATGCCTTTAACCTTAGCAACTCAAAGGGCTGAGGCAGGAGGATCACAGGTTCGAAACTAGCCTCAGCAACTTAGTGAGCCCCTAAGCAACTTAGTGAGACACTGTCTCAACATTTATAAGGGGGGCTGGGGATGTGTCTCAGTGGTTAAGCGCCCCTGGGTTCAATCCTCAATACAAAAAAAAGATTTTTTTTTCTCAAAACAGCAACAGTGAAGATATTTTTTTTTTTTTTCCCAAAGCAGCAACCTCTTGGGTGCCCAGGATAGCTGCACAGYTGCAGGCCCTGCCTGGGCTTCTATGGACTGCAGACATGCCAGGGCTGTACTTATAAGGGCTTGATCAGAGCCTCAGGCTATGCTCCCAAGGTGGCTCCTCACATGCCTATTGGCTGGGGCCTGAGCCCCTCCCTCAGGCATCTCCAGAGTTATAACATGGCAGCAGGCTCCCCAGAGCCAGCGATGACAGAAGGACAACGTGTTAGTCTGTTCTCCCTTGCTCTGACAAAAGTTGAGCTAGTCAACTTATGAGGAAGAAAGATTTCCTTTGGCTCATGATTTACAAGATTTCAGTCTGCTTAGCCTTGCTGTTTTGGGCCTGTGGCAAGGCAGAAGATCATGGCAGAGGGAGTCTATTCACCTTTCAACAGGCAGGAAGGAGAGAGAGTGGGCGGGAGAGAGAGATAAGAAAGGGGTCCCAATATCCCCCCAAGGGCACACCCCCAATGACCTGACTTCCTCCCATGAGGTCCCACCTYTTAAAGGTCCCACCACCTCCCAGTAGCACCACAAGCTGATGACCACGTCTTCGATACTTGGGCCTTTGGAGGACATTTCCAAACATATCAGGAAGAGAGAAAGAGGGACAGACAGGGACAGCAAAGGACAGAGATGGACTGACAGAGATGGAGTGAACGTGTGAGACAGGGACAGAGAAGGAAGGATACGAAAAGAAAAAGAAGTATAATGCCTTTTTTGAAATTATGATAAAATATACATAACATAATGTTGATCATCTTAACCCTTTGTGAGCATGCGGTTCTGTGGCATACACATTCACAATTCTGTGTAGCCTTCCTCACTGTCCATAGCCAAAAGTTTTTCATCTTCTGTCAAGAGAAACTGTCCCCATTAAACAACATCCTGTCCCCCAGCCCCTGGCCCTCGCCATTCTACCTTCTGTCTCTATGAGTCTGACTCCTCTTGAGACCTCAGAAGAGTAGAGCCATAGTGTCTTGTTGTGACCAGCGTATTTCACTTGTGATGTCCTCAAGGTTCATCCCTGTTGTACATTTGTCAGAATTTCTTCCTTTTTAAGGCTGAATAATATTCCATTGCATGGAGGTACCACATTTTGTTTATCTATTCATCTGTCGATGGAAACTTGGGCTGCTTCCACCTCTTGGCCGTTGTGAATAGTGCTGCTGTGAACAGGGGTGCACAGGTATGTGAGTCCCTGCTTTCAGTCCTTTGGGTATGTACCTAGGAGCGGGATTGCTGGGTCATATGGGAACTCCATTTAACCTTTTGAGGAACCATGTGCCTTGTTATGACCTAGCCTCCAAGCTGTCACCTCTGCCAGTTCATTTGAAGCCCACACACAAGGGTGAGGAGTCGAGTTCCCTCTTAGAGGAGATGCATCAAAGGCTTTGGAGATGTGTTTTATAGCCACTGATGATGAGCACCTGATGTCATGAGCCTGGTGTCCACTGAACTGAGTTATCCCAGTGCGAGGGAGGTTCAAAGCCTGGCCCTATACTGACTGCACAGATGGACTCCAAGCTACCAGTTCAAGGGGGTCCTGAGTCAGGGGTTGGCCAGGAGCTTGCTTGCAGGGGGTTCAGTTTCCCTCAGAGACAAAGGGAGGATGGGCAGATGGAACTGGGCCGGATGTGACCTGGCCTTGCTCTGTAGCAACTCATATAGGGACAGGGGTTAGGGCCAACTAGGCCTCTCAGAGCCAGGAGACTTTGCCTTTTGGGGCTTGGGCTCCCTCCTGCCCAAAATGTCACCCTGGGCAGTTTTCACAAGTTTCCTGTGTCAACAGAGAAACCCAGGAGGAAAGAATCAGGCAGGACCCATAGGGATGGTACCAGGAGGAGGGTCTGGCCAGGTGTTGGGGGGCTGCTGTTTGGGTCATCTGGAATAAACCAAAGCACTCAGATGGTCCAGAGCTCCTTAAACCTTGTGTCCTCAAATACAGATGCCTGCCCTCCGAGTCAGAGCCGCAACCACCATGAGAGTTTGGTGAAGGGGGTCTTCAGCCCTGTGGTTCTGGCTACTAGGCTGAGTATGGAGTTTATTCCCAGATCAGGTTAAGGTGACAGTGACAAGTCTAGCTGATGTCTGTGGAGCGCCTATTCCTGAGCATAGGTGATCTGTACCTGCCTGGATGTAGCCTCAGGTCAACACCCTCCCCAGGGTTCCAGAATTCACTATTAAGCACATATTTACAAATGTCTGCTTGGTGTCAGGTGAGGTCCCAGGAGTGGAGGCCCAGCCAGGGGCATCTGCTTCTGATGTGGAAGGTGTCCTGGGGGTAGGGAGCTCATCAAAAGAGCAGGTCCCAAACCTCCACTGCTGCCCCCAGGACCCCAGGGTGACAGAGCCTAGCAGAGTCACAGTCCTCAGTATCTCCTGCTAATGTGCCCAGCATCTCCATCAGGAGTTGAAAGCCCCCAGCCCTGACTGAGGGACCCTTAGCTGCCCCCCAGACTCCTCTCCCCACCCTGACCAGCTCTCATTTGACCCTGGCCAGGAAGTTTGTAATTTTGACTGATTTCAGGGCTAGAATCAGCCTCCCTCAGTGGGTCCCCACTGAGGAGCTGGGCAGGGGGATACCCAGAGGGTGGGAGCTTGAGGAGGAGGGCAAGGGTGAAAGGTCACTAGAGCTGCCACCTAGCAGCTGTTCTTATGTGCCACCAGTTAGCATCATTTGACTCTGCAGGCAAGGGTTAGTGTCTCTGTCAACTGCAAGCACCATGGGTATCTAGGAAAGGATCCAAGAAACTTCTTGGGAGAAGCAGAAGGAGCCCCCTGAACCTCCTTGCTCTTGGTCTCCCGGCCCAAGAAAGTCCAAGCCCCAGCCAGGCTCTTGGGAACTGGACCCTTGAGCCCCTGCCCTGCAGGAATACATCCCTGAGAGAAGGAAGAACCCCAACAATCAGGAGCCCAAGGCAAACAGGAGAGGGGGCAAGGCCACATTCCTGAGCCCCTTCTCCCTTGGGAGGTTGAGAGCAGCAGGTTATCTCTGGAGGATATTTGCTGACCTGACCCATGGTTTCCAGACTGGACTCTTAAAGATACTGCCAGGGACCTTACTTATTGCCACCTCTGCATGCCACCACCRTGTTATTTGCTTACTGTTTTTATTTAAATAGATTTTGTGACGATTCACTTTTTTGCTTGGCCCTGTCTGTGAATTCACGGGTCTGATGTGCTAGTTAGATTTTCTTCTAAACCATTAAAATAAGCACCTAACTATTTTTAAAACGTTAAAAAATGTTTTTTATTTAATGTTCACATGCACACTACCTTGATTTCCTACAAGTATCCCTAGTGGCTCCATCTGATTGAGGGACCCACTTCCTGGCAGAAAGTAGGACCCACCTAAGCCTGATGTCCCACCTAAGCCTGATGGGCCCCTGACCTCAACCCATATTGCACCAGGAGTCTGGTGCCAGCCCCCACCAGCAAGCTGTGCCTGCTGAACCCAGGGGACAGTGGCCCTGGGCCTCCCTTCCTCCCCTGGAGCACTGTACCAGAAGACCCCTTCCAGCTGCTGCCCTTTCAGCTTAGACCTTTTTGCTCTGGGCTCAGAAAAGAAGCCCAGGTCCCCAAGCAGCCCCAGATCCTGGTACTGAGCCTCACAAACTGCTAACAACAGTGACAATGACAATTGTCCTTAGGTACTCACCATGTTGTGGGAGCTTCCTGCAGGTCACCTAATTCATCTTTGCAATGATCCACAGTTGCTAATTTCGTCCATTTCATAGAGGAGCAGACAGGCTTACGTGGCTGAGTGACCTGTACAAGTTCATACAGCCAGTACAGTGGCAGGAGAGGGTGGTCCTGCATTTCCTGGGACCTGGAGCCCAGCCTGCTCTCACAGGCTCGGGGGCTTTGTGCCTGAGGTGTAGGTGCTGAGAAAGGCCATTGGTGTGGGGTCATTGGAGCCCAGAAGTCTGGGCAAGGCCTGGGCCCCAGAGGCCAGATTAGAGTTTCTGGGCATGAGGATGCTATTAGGCTGGCACCTGGAAGGACCAGAGCCAGGAAGGAGGGCCCTGACAACTAATTAGAAACTAGGACAGTGCAGGAGGGCACCAGGAAGGGGCTGGAGCTGTGTGGGCTGTTTATGCCTAAGGCCCGGGTGCCTATGGGACTTGGGAGAAGGCGACCAATTTTCACCCTCCAGCTCCTGTGTCTGGATGATGGGAGACAGCCATACCTCAGAGATCTTTCTGTCTGGACCCAAAAAAGAGAGGGGCCAAGACTGGCACAGTGTAGGGCCTAGAGTCAGACCAACCCCTCAGCTCACAGCCCCACTTTGCCTTTTTTTTGGGCTGCGTAACTTTCAGCTGATTACTCAACCTCTCTGTGCTTCAGCTTCCTCATCTGTAGCCTCTAGGAGTGGCTGGAAGGTTAATTGAGTTAATCCATAGAGTGCTCATAGCAGTCCTGGCACACGGTGAGAGCTCAATGCCTGTCGTCGCTGTTCTAGCAAAGGGCAGAATCTGCACGTGGGAGAGCAGGGCCCAAAGTGAGTCATTCTGAGCAAATACTCACTGCTTGGAGCAGGGCCTTTCTCCGGGTGAGGAAAAGCAGGCCTTGGTGGAGCACACTTTGGTGCTGAGATCGCACCGCTGTTCCCTGGCTCCTTTGTCCACTTGTCACGCATCCTGTGTGTCCTCGTCAGTTCTGCCCTGCACCAGGCAGGGTCTAGAGTGAGGGGCAGGAAGCAAACAGACCTTCGCAGGCAGCGTGGAGACAGGCTTGAGGAGGGGAGAATGGCAATGCCCCACCTTGCTGGAACCTGAGCTCAGGGTTCGAGCCTTTGGGTGATGACACACTGGGACAGGTTTTCCTCTGGACCAGGTCCCTGCCTGTTGAGGACAGAGGGCAGCTCTGGGAAGGCCCAGGGTGAACCATGGGTGTGTTTCATCCTGAATCCTCCCCCATGTGACACCTTTCAGGGACTCCTGTCCAGGAGCTCAGCTGGGCAAATCCCTACTGCTGCCCTCCTCGATCTCCCTCTGGCAGAAGGAAACGGGATCAGGCAGGCAGCTGGGAGTGGAGAAAGGTCAGGGTGCTGCCCAGAGGCCCCTGATGCTCACCCAGGGGCTGGTGGCCTGCAGGGCCCGAAGTACCCCCTCCCTGCCTCCTGGTCACCCACCTGGCCCTCCCCACAGGTCATCCTGTGGGCAGCCCTAGGGTCCTTGGCTGTGGGTCCCTCCCTGAGGGCTTGCACAGCGGCATATGGCTGGACAGTGTGAAGGTGGGTGTGTCCTAGCTACCACCAGTTCCTCATGGCTTCTCTGTCCCTGCAGTGCGTCTCCATGACAGCATCTCCGAGGAGGGTTTCCACTACCTGGTCTTCGATCTGTAAGTGCCAGYGCTGAGAACCCTCTCCCACTCCTGGTGCAGGGCTAGGGAGGGGTCTAAAACCTCCCCAGCCCAGGGAACAGTCCTGTCTTTACTTCTGGCCACCACCTGAGCGCACCTGTGCTGTGGGTCACCTTTCTCCCAGCCACATCTTCCCGGCCTCCTTGGTCTTGCTCTGGTTTTATTGAGTACCTTGGGGTTGGGACTGACCTGTGACCCCTCTTCCCCACAGGCCACAGGGGTAGGGGAGGGAAGGGAGGACTGCAGAGTGCAGCCAGAGGTTCAGTCACTTCCCTTCCCTGTGTGCCCTTGTCAAGCTGGACTGTGGTGGCACCATTGCCTGGCATGAGCATGTGTATTTTGAGTGTGGGTAAAAGCATGTACATGTGTGCACTTGTGCTTATGTGTGAATGTGTGTGCACGTGTGGGTATCTGAGCGTGTCTGAGTGTATGTGTGTGGTATATAGGCGTGTGTGTGTGCCTTGTATGAACATGTGTGGCTATGGTTTGTGGGGGCACATGCCTATATGCCTGTGCGTGTGTGTTTGCACGAGTGTGTGTGCGCACAAGCTTGCACATGCAGTAACTGAGTGAGGAAGGCGTCTGGGGCCAGTGCCGCCTCTCACTTCCTGCCAGATTTAGAAGCGATGATCTCATCTCCCTCACTCTTGACAGCTCCCTCTAAGCAGCACTATATTTAGCTGTCCGTGAATCAGGGCTGTTGTGGGACCCTGCGCTGGGTGGGGGCCCACGGGTCTTGGCCTACCTCTGTGGCCTCCAGGAAGGCACACAGCCAGGGAAGCCTGGCTGTGGTGCCATTGCCATGGTTACCCCATGCCCTCCCGCAGCAGCTCTTGAGCAGCAGGCCCAGTGGTGACAGGAGGCACTTTTGTATGGACCGCCCTCTCAGTTCTTCCTTCCTCAAGTGACAGATGCCCAAGCTGTGGGGTGTGCAGACCTCAGAGGACTCCATTCACATGGAGTCCTYTGGTCAAGAGAGGCAAGGCTGTCCCTTCAGGGGGTTCTTGGATGCCCCATGTGTCCCATAAGGCCTCAAATTGTCAGCCAGGTGACTAAGGCTGGCCCAAGCACAGCCACTGCTGTCTGGCTGAGGTTGTGCCCTCCTTAGGGGGCAGTCTCACCATTGCCCTTGTGTCCACCAGAGCCACCTCCACCAGATTCTTTTCCCAGGACACGGAGAAGCCCCTGGACTGAGGGTGGCCCTGTCCAGGGCTCCTGGTGGCAACAGATGGCTGCATGTATTCCAGGAACTAAGAAGGAAAGAGAACAGTGTGTGTGTGTGTGTGTGTGTGTGTGTGTGTGTGTGTGTGTGTATGACTTGTCTCTCGGGGCTGGCTTTGCTCAGAGCTGATTCAGCACTCACCAGGAGGTGTAGGGAAAGCCTCTGAGGGTGGTGAGTCCTGGGGTCCTGCACATCCTCCTCCCAAACCTTTGTGTCTGATGGGGCAGCAGATTCTGGAATGGGCTGGCCTCCCTTTCAGAGGCCCAGAGGTCCCTTAGCAGTTGAGGGGCTCTGTGGATTTGGGGACATTGACAGGTGTTCACACTCCCCATGGTTAGAAATGTCACAGGACTCAGGGAGTAGGCCTGGGAATGGAAGGACTTGCACATACCTGCACACCTGGAGGAAGGAGGCTCCCATGTGGGCCATGACTTTCCTTGGTTGAATGCCCCCATGGCCTGTGGAGAGGTGATTCAGATGCAGAACCTCCCAGACGTATCCCCTTCTTGGGCCAGCACTGTGCCCATATGCCCCCATCAACAAACATGGTGGGAACAAAATCCCTGCCCTGAAGCTCTGGACCAGACGATGGCCTAGCCAGGAAGTCCCAGGTGCCCATTAGTCTGAACTGCAGTTGGCTAAACACACAGGGCACCCCAGAAGGTCTGGTCTGGCCCCAGGTGAGGTACCTCTCAGGAGGCTACTGTAAGCTGTGACCCTGGACCTAGACCTGGTAGCCTTTTGCTTTTGTTCTTTGCCTGGACTCAGGGCCTTTGGGCCTGATGTGTAAGCTGATGAACCACGACCTACACAGTCAATCGCACGACCTGGTCTACACTTGGGATATGATCCTCCTGCTCCACACACATGGGTGCATGTGCATTTCACCCTCATGTTGGAATTTCCACTTAATTTAGGGCTGGGCTCCCTGATAGAGGAATTGGGTGGCTTGTGGAGCCCAATCTGAGTCTCCTAGGCCCAGAGCTGCTGCTCCAGTATTGTCACCGCCTTGGGTAGCACTGCTCAGAGCTAAGGCTCCTCCAGAGACAAAGTGGAACCTTAAAAGCTCCTCACTTTAGGTGTTGCTGGGGGCTCCTGCAGGTTCCTCAGGGCATGAGTAGCCTGGAGCAGGGACATGCTAACACGCAGCACATCCTCATTTAAATTTTTCTCCAATGCAAGACACAGTACCTACCCATGCCAGGGTCACTTTTCAACAATCCCTACTCCCTGGATCACCCCTGCCATGAACTGGGCCAGTGCTGAGTACTGGACACAAAAATGAGGAAGACCCAAACCTCACCAGAAAAAAATGGGTAACACTAAACAGAGGTGACTAAGGTTGGCCCAAGCACAGCCACTGCTGCCAGGCTGAGGTTGTGCCCTCCTTAGGAGGCAGACTCACTTGGGGGCAGCTAGAGCAGGAAGGAGCCTGGGAAGAGGACAACAGGCTTTCCCCACTCCTCAGGGAGGGCCTCACCTCAGGGAGCCATTGTATGGTGTCTTCTGGCAAACTTAGAACCTTCAGTTTGGGGAGAGACAAGGGCAGACTCAGGGCCTCTGTCCTGCCTGCTGGCGTGCGTCCACACCTCTCCACCTTACCAGACCCCAAGGACTCCCAGAAGCCCAAACCCTTTCTACATTCTCAGAAGCCCTCCAGTCAGTGGCTCCTGCCCCAAAGCCCGTATTGACTACATTCTGATGGCCAGTCACTGAGTAGGGACATAGGGCATGAGGTTGTGCCAGCTGAGACCACCCCCAGCACCTGTCACGATCAACTCTCTTCCCTAAAGATGGGTCTTACAACTAAGACAGTGGCCCATCAGGGAAGCCAGATCCAGGCACTGGATCTTCTGGCCCTTTCACTCCTGGAGAYAGGAGGGCACATATCTGGCCCTGGGGTACTTGAGGATAACAATCCAGATGCCTGACTCARACCTCTATGCTGCCCACTCTGGGGAAATCACTTAGATCTCTGGAACTCAGTTTTCTTGTCCATGAATGGAATATAATAGTGCCAATGGCTTGGGATGGTTGTGAAGACAGAAAGGTTAAGTGTCATCATGTATGAGTGAGTAATTGGGAAGCTGTCAGATCTAGGTGACGATGGTGCTAGTATGGTGATGGTGGTGGTGGATGTTGGAGGTGATAGAGATTGTGACGGTGGTGGTGGTGATGGTGGTGGTATTGATGGAGATGGTGGTGATGGTGATGATGGAGGTGGTGGTGATATTTGTGAAGCTGATGATGGAGGTGGTGGTGAGGTAGAGGTGGCAGTGGTGATGGTGGTGATGGTAGTAGAGAAGGTGATGAAAGCAACAGTATTTCCAGAATCTGACCTCCATGTGCTTTTCCCACAGGGTCACTGGTGGGGAGCTCTTTGAAGACATTGTGGCAAGAGAGTACTACAGTGAGGCTGATGCCAGGTGGGTTCCAAGCCTCACTCCATCTTCCCCCTTGCCCATCCCTCACTCAGCCCCACTCCTGCCTCTCCTGTAACCCCTGTTTATTCCATGCATCATGGTCCCTTCCATATTCCCAGCAGAAGGCAGCTGAGTGGAAGTGTCACTTGGCCCACTGGCCCTACTGGGAGCTCTCTGACCAAGGAAGGAGGGGCCCATCTTGTGTCTTTGACCAGCTCAGGGGTGCTGCCTGTGGGAATGTCTTGGACCTGCTGCACTGTGAGGGGTGCTTTTCTTAGGGTGGCTGGTTGCCGCAGTCCGGCTGCAGCAAAATAACCGGGGGGTGACGAGCAACTTGTGTACATTGATACAGCAGGAGTGGGAGCCCTTTATTGTAGGATCGGAGTGGTATATATACATTCCACACAGCTTATCTTAATTAACATAAACTAGATACAGCAGTCAACCAATAAGGAATCTCCACACTTAATGGCTCGCTGGCGTTACTTCACAAACCACTCCCTCTGCAAAATGCCAGGCGCCATCTTGACTTGTTTACAGACTCTAACATCTGGTGGAGGAGGAGCAGCAGCTAGAGGGTGGTCATAAGCAGTAATCTCTTGCCTAACCTTCCTCACAGAGATAAGCAGTTTCCAAATGCTCTTCCCCAGAAGGCAGGTCAGGAATCCCCTTCCATAGTGTCCTCACAATGCCATCTCTGGCCCCAACCAGCTTGTGCATAAAGCCAAGGAAAGTCAACAGGCTGTCCTGGTACAGCTGCTGGGACAGCTACCACTATCTGTCCTCTTGGGTCCCTGCACTCTTGCCTGCCACACCCAAGACAGTGGGAGGAGGCCAGAGCACACTCAAAACTTCTGTACCCAGTGTGCCATTCAAGGGCTTACCCCTTGGTGTGGGGGTGGGATAGAGGAGCATGGATTCTATACATGAATTCTATACACTGGGCTTCCTTGTGGACCCTAGACAGCCCTTCCCTTGGGGTCAGCCCTCACTAGAGCAATGAAGCTAGACAATGATCCCAGAGATGGCCAATTGTGGCATGGCTGCTGGGGACCAGATTGAGGGATGCATAATGTCAGCTGGAGAGACGATGACTCCTGTCCCAGGAAGGGTCAGCCATTTGTGAGCTGCTTTGGTCCAGGTCAAGTGATACACTGATCCTTGAGAGTATATCTCAACTCAGGGAGAGCTGAGGGTGGTCACTTCCTGCCTTCCAGGTTCTGTCCACCCTGCTTTGCCACAGAGATATGCATTTTACAAGAAAAAAGGCTACAGGTTCTCTCCAGGTGGTGGAGTTATGGATGGTTAAATTTTTTTTCTTGTCTATTTTAAAACTCTTCTTAATTGAAAATGTATTGCATTTCTAATGAAGAAAAAAAGGAATATTTTTTAAAGTAGCTTTTTGTGGCTTGTCTCTATACCAGCAGGCAGCCTTCCCCTTTGCAACAAGTCCCTTTGGGAAGGTGTGAGCATTCCGGCTTGTCTTGGCCACTCAGGCCTCCCCATAGAGCCAGGCAAGCAAAGGCCGTAGGCCAGATCAGGGAGAGGACAAGTTGGGACAGGCAGGCCTGTGACCCTTCCTATTGCCCGCAGATCCTGAGAGGCTGAGCTCACTAGCTTCTTTCTAGGGCTTCTTCAGGAAGGACTTTATATTTTACAAAACAGCCTGGAAGTGGCCTGTCCCTCAGAGTGGAGAGAGATGAGGTTTTTCTTTATATTCTACTTAGAAGCAGAAAGTGGAAGGAAATCCCCTCTGGCTGCTCTGTCATGCCGAGTGGAAAATGTCTCAGAACTTGACTGCATGCTGGTAAAAGGACCCAAGTGTCCCCACTGACCCTCCAAATGCCTGCTGGGGCAAGAGGGGCCCTGGGTGGTCCACATGTTCTGAGGGACCCATAGATACCAGGCAAGGTAGTGGGCATCATCTGGCCATATGGAGCCTTCCATTTACATAACGGACTCTGAGGCCCTACTGCGCAGTACCTGGACTGATCATGCCATGGCCATTGCCCCAGGTTCTGGTGTCCTCATGCCCACCCCCTGGCACCCTCTCACTAATGGTGCCACCCATAGCCTAGCTCGCCTCTCACATCGTCTTCACCTGCCCTCACCCTGTGCCCCACCCTCTCTGACGCTCCTTCCCCTGTATCATCGTCTTCCAGCCCCGGCCCGCTCCACCCCTACAGACCTTCTGCTCCCTGTAGACTGTGGTTGTCCCTGTGGGACCTGTCATCCTCTAGCCTGGAGAGCTGTTGAGGGCTTCACAGTGCCAACCCCCTTCCAAATGACCTACCCACCAGAGTGGAGGCCAGGGGGTAGAGGGCTCACTGTGTGCTGCCCTCACCACACCAGGTGGCCTRTCCTTCCAGAGCACTAGCCACTCTGCTGGTTGCACTGGGGCCCTCAGCCTCTGCTCACTGGACCTCTACACTTAGTCTCTCTCACAGACACACAGCGCCCCCTGGTGACTCTGGAGGACCTGACCTGAGGCAGAAAGTCTGCCGCCTGAATCGTAGCCTTCTTGCTGCAGGCCAGGAGAACTGTTCAGGACAAGTGGCCTCAGATAGGTTTTAGGAGGGGAGAGGCTGGAACTTTCTGGGTGCTTGAACTGTTCTGGTCCCAGGAACCTTCTTCACACTGCAGAATTGGGGAAAGAAGAGCCCTGTGACCCTCGCCAGGCCCCACCCTGCCTGCTCTGATGGTAGAGCTCCTCACCTCTCCCCAGGGGACCCCTAGTCAAGGGTACTGGGTGTTTGGAGGCCCCAGACCTGACCCAGAAGAGGTGGGACTCTTCCACCATACACCCCTCGTTTCTTCTCACAGACTGCCTCTTTGAGGTTGGAGGCTCCAGTGGAGTATGCTCAGTGACCAGACTGAGGAGGGTTGGGCAGCCTGAGTCTATGGGGCGGGGTGCAAGGACCCTGGCAGTTATTTTGGAGACTGAGTTATCGGGGAGGGAGAGGGCACAAGGGAGCTCTCTGGAGACTTTCCTCCTGGGCTTGCCCTGCTGGTTTGACCAACTCCTGTGCCTATAGGGCAGCCTCTCAGCAACCTCAGCCTCCTCATTTTTCTTTCCTGAGCCTGTGTTCTGCACTGAGGAGGAGGAGGAGAAGGCACTGCTGGGAATCAGCCTCCTGGTTGGCTCTTGGTGTTTCTGCCTCAGGCTCCTGTTTGCCTAGGTTCAGGCTTAGGGTCAGCTTGGTCAACACGAACTTTGGGAAAGTATATTGGGAACGGGAATGTTTGCCCTGAAAGTCACTTCTGTGCACCTGGCCCTGCCTCCTAGGCAGACCTTGGCCCAAAGAGGAAGGCAGGGCGAGGGCCAGGGTATCTGACTCTGGTAGTGGGGAAGGAACCCCAGAGGCCCCTTCTGGCTAGCATCTCCTCTCCACTTGGTTTCCTACATCTGCCTCACTCCCCGCAGGCTGGGAGCTGCACTCCAGTACCACCCAGCACTGCCATTCTCCCTGTGCCTCCTCTCCCTGCTTCCCTCCCCAGCCTATCCCCAGGGCCACTTGCACTGACCCACCTGCTCTTTGCCACAGTCACTGCATCCAGCAGATCCTGGAGGCCGTTCTTCATTGTCACCAAATGGGGGTTGTCCACAGAGACCTCAAGGTGAGTTCCTATCTCACTCTGTGTCAGGTGTGTATGATCCACACCTGCATGCTGTGTAAAAGGTATGAGGGGCTGGGCAGTGTGGAGTGAAGGGGATGCGGGGTGTGGGCAGGCATGTCTGCATACCATGTATTTGTGTGAAGGAGTGTGTGTATGTGTGCTTGTTCATGGAGGTGTGTGCACATGCCTGTGTGTAGAAGTATGTGATATGTATGTACATATAGGTGTGTGCATGTTTGTGGGCACACAGGTGAGAGTGTGCTTGTGTGTGCATGCATTGAGGGCTGTGCATGTTTATTTGTGTGTGTGTACATGTGTCCACTTGGATGTGTGAATTGTATGTGTACATGGAGACATGTGTACACACCTGTCACACGTTTATGTGTGTGCATATAGTGTGTGCATGCATATAAATGTACGAGTGTATGTGTGTGCATGTGTGAGTGTATTCACGTGATTATGTGTGTGTGCACAAGTGGTCACGTATATGCATGATTGTGAATGTACACCGTATGTGCTGTGTGCATGTGTGTACACGTGTGAGATGTGCCTGCACACATCTGGCTCGATGCCTTCAGGGATGGAAGGGGCAGCCTTTAGGAATACGCCTACCAACAAATGTATACACTTTCTGGTTTTCCACCAAGATGCAGCTTTGGCAGGTGGGGACACAGGGGACAGAAGGCTGATGCTGCTGGGGGCAGGGTGATGAAAGCCAGTCTCACCTGGCCCTGCCAGTTCCTCTCAGCTCTCACTCCAACTCTCTGCTTCCCAGAGCTGAGCTGTGGGCTTCAGGCTCTGTTCAAAAGAAGATTTCTCACCCCCAGGACACGGGGTGGCTGTGGCATCCCAGAAGCCACCGGCACTTCTCCCTCCTCCCTCTTTTTCCTTCCCTCCTTTTCCAAATCTTGGTTCAACCTGTTGTTACTTTCTGAAGGTAGTATGGACCCCTGAGCCTGGCCCCGGTGTGTTTAAGACCAGCCGTCCCATGGCTGTTGGTGCTGAGTAGGGGTCACATCTTCCCTAGGCTGAATAGGCTGAATGAGAGGTCATACCTTCCTTAGACTGTGGCTATGGGAGGCTGGTCTTCACAGTTGCTCTGAGGAGGGTGTCACAGGAAGACCAGACCTGGGATTCCCTCCTTGTCCCTTCACATGTCTTGGCTTCTCCATGGTCTTAACTGAACTGTCCTCACTCAGGGTCCCTAGGAGGATGGGGCCCAGATTCTCCCCTAGGAAGGCCATGTGTTAGTGCCAGCACCCAGAGGAGGTAACATTTTGTTCCCAGGCCCTGTGATTTATCTGGTTAACTTTGAGGTCAAGGCATAGAAGTGCAGGTGGGTGCTCCCTCACCTCTTAATTTGGGAAACAAATAGAATTCTTGCTGTGGCCTCCACCTCTTGTTGTGGTGGCAGAACAACCCTTCTTTCTTGGGGAGAAATCCTACTGTCTTGACTGAGATGGCCCCCAAATGGCACCATGGTGGGTTTGCTCCCATCCCATGAGAGTTGGTGATGACAGAGAGCAGAAGGCTGTCGGTGCCATCTTGAGCTGTGAAGGAACCAGAGTGGAGTCCAGAGGTGGAGGAGTGGCTATGCAGCCCAGCTGGGCCATCCCTGGCCCCTCTTCTTTCAGATTCTCCATGTGGAAGTATGGTTTGGGGCCCCTGCCCTGCTTAGGTTGGCAAAATCAAGATGGGCAGTGGTGTCTGGTAGGCAACCAGTGGGTAGGGCCCTGTGTGCTCCCTCCTGTTACCAGAGAGAGATGGAGTTCCACCTGGGGTCAGAGTCCCCCCAAGAGGGCATGAGGCCTCATCCCTAGCTGCTATGCAGCCCATAGTTGAAACCTCAGGAAGCTCTGATCTGGAGCACAAATATTTTCACACAGGACTGGTACATTTCATTGATTGCAAAGGCCACTTTTTCACATATGAAAATCTCTGAGGTTGACAGCCAGTGTTAAAAGTAGGCTGCGAGGCAGTGCGTTGTCTTTGGGGTGGATAATTAACAGCAGTGTAACCTATGCAGGCTGCGCAGTTTCAGGATGGAGGGAGACTGCAGGGCTGCCAGGGGACCTGAGGACCCAGCAGGCCTCAGTGGTCAAGGATCAGAATGGAATGGACAGGCTTTGAGCACCACCAATAGCCAGAACCCTGCTGGAATTGGAAGCTGGACAGGAAGGTCAGGGAATGTTGAAGCCCAGGGACCCCTCAGGCCTTTGGTACCAGGTGTCCACAGAATGAGAGCAGCCTCCTTGGCTGCTTCTTCAAGACAAGGAACAGATGTCTGTTCAGTGTGAGCAAGGGTGCTGCTCCCTGAGGGGGATCCAAAGAGCCTTTTCCCACCTGTGGGAGTGGACGGGAAGGTGTTAGGGCAGGGGCCTCCTTTCGGCCCTGCTGACCAGAGCCAAGTGGGAATTGGTGGTCAGGCTATGCCTAGCAGGTGGATGTCCTCTGCTGTCCTGGGCACTTTGGCTCTTGAGTGTTTCTTCATGCCATTTGAGGGCCACTGTCCAAGTAGGAAGTACCTCCTGAGCCTTACAGGACACCTCCCCCTGCGCCCTGCCGCCAGCTGCCAACTTATACACTGGGTCAAAAATGGGGAAGGGAGGGAGGTCCAGTTGAAACCTCTCTGCCACTAGGAGTCCTGGGCCATGGGAGCCTCCAAAGCTCCTGTGTGACCTGCCCCAGAGCAGAAGGGACCATCACAGTTGCTTGTGAGGATGGGCTGGGGATTTTGGTCTGAGAGGCCCTCTCAGACTCCTGCTCTGGGGTGCAGGGGAGCTACACTCTGCCTGAGGGCTAACTTTCTCCTCTGACAGGCTGGGGCTGCTGTCTTTGTCCTCAGGTAGTCAGATTAGAGGGTACGGGACCGGAACTCAGCCATGCCCTGGGAATTCCATGTGTGGGAGGGTCAGACCTGCACCCCTCTCCTGCAAGCTGCTGTCATCTCTCTTTTGTCCCATACCCCTCCTGTGACTCCTTCCGGTATAAACATGGTGACTTCGCGGCCACCTCTCTATAGCCTGAGAACCTGCTCCTGGCCAGCAAGTGCAAGGGGGCTGCAGTGAAGTTGGCGGACTTCGGCCTGGCCATCGAGGTGCAGGGGGACCAGCAGGCATGGTTTGGTGAGTGCACAGGGGGAGGGCAGGAGGTGTTGGAGGCCCCTCACAGCTCCTCATGGCCCCTTCCACTTCAATAGGTTTTGCTGGCACACCGGGCTACCTGTCCCCTGAGGTCCTTCGGAAGGAGGCATATGGCAAGCCTGTGGACATCTGGGCATGTGGTGAGACCCGTGTGTGGGGTGGGGTGGGTCAGAGGGTTGTTGGGGTGTTCCAGGGCATTTCTAGGTCGCCATGTCTATTCTGGAACCTGCAGATGGCTGACTTGCTTGCCCTGGACCAGGTTCCTGTGTCATACCTGCCTTTGGGCTGCCTTGGCAGGGGTCTGATCCACAGACTAGAATTACTAACATGACCCAGGGCCCGTCACCTGTGTCCACCTGCACTCAGCAAATGTCTGGGCCCAGAGCCAAGTGGACAGCCTGAGTGAAGGGCCCAGGGACACTCAGACCACCTGGTGGGGCTGCTCCTAGGGCAGGTGTTTCCTCTTGCAGGTGGTGTTGAAGTAGAGGGGGCTAGCCTGGGCTCCATGGTGAAGTATGGTGGGCATAGGGCTGGGAATAGGATTTATATATGCCATTCTTCCCATGTGCCTGGTGCCTGTTGGGGTGGGGTAAAAGAATGCTGAGGACCCCAGTGCCCTCCCAGGGCTGTGCTGCTCATGTCCCCACCATAGGAGTGATCCTGTATATCCTGCTGGTGGGCTACCCACCTTTCTGGGATGAGGACCAGCATAAGCTGTACCAGCAGATCAAGGCTGGGGCCTATGACGTGAGTGTGCACCAGGGGGTGGGGGTGGAGCCTCCTGTGGCCACACCCTCTATCTTGCCCTCCTCAACTCTGTCCCTGCATGGGGGGAGGGGGTTTCAGCCTTGGCCTGTGCATTATTTCTTTGCTTCTGCAGTTCCCATCCCCCGAGTGGGACACTGTCACTCCTGAAGCCAAAAACCTCATCAACCAGATGTTGACAATTAACCCTGCCAAGCGCATCACAGCCCATGAAGCTCTGAAGCATCCATGGGTCTGCGTAAGTCGTCCTTGGTGCCCGCTTGTGGAATGGACCTCCTGGGGGAGGTCTCAAGGGCCCCAGTGGGGCACTGGGGTTCTGTCCCTGTGCTGACAGTTCCCTGATGTTCCTCATGGCCTCTGGCTTGGGACATGCTGATGGTTTTCAAGGACTGGGCTTGGATGGCATTGAGCTTCCTCTTGACTTCAGTACTGTCTATGAGAGGCAAGGCTTGAAGTCACAGGTGGGAGGATACAGCAGGTGGGGACAGTTGTTCTCTTGATGYAGTGGTGGCTGGTACCTCTCAGCACCTAGGAGCCCTGGGATGCCATAAGCCCTGCTGCCCTGGGCCTTTCCTCTGACACTCTGGGGTCTGCCCCACCGGGACAAGGCCGATGCCTCTGGTGCTTCTTGCCACTCTGTGATCACCCCTCTCCCTGCAGCAACGTTCCACAGTGGCCTCCATGATGCACAGACAGGAGACCGTGGAGTGTTTGAAGAAGTTCAATGCCAGGAGGAAGCTCAAGGTGAGGCACTACCATTTAGCCCACAGAACCATCACACGTCCCTGTGTTCCCACGGGCCCTTGCTGGGGGTGATATCGGCAGATCCAGCCAAAGGACGAAGCAGGGTCACAGCTGCCCCCAAGACTGTGCTTGTTGGCAAGTCCCAGACCAAATGAATCTGGGCCCTGGGAACAGCCCAAAGCCCCCTGAGGCCATGAGTATGGGCTTGGCCCCAGACACAGAGCTGGCCCCTTCTAGTCGACCCTGCTGCCTTGAGCAGTCCTGGAGGGGTGTCCTGAGGACCTTCTGCAGGTTCCACACCTGGGAAGAACGTGCCTTGGTCCTGAGAAGGTTTGGTAAGGAGATCAGATCTGAATGCTGGTCTTGGTGGACAGGGCCATGGGAGTGAAGGTGGGCCATGGGAGTGGAAGGTGGTCCCTGGAAGGTGACCAGAAGATCCTGATGATGATTTGTCTGGTCAGGCCAGCCATCTCCCCAGGTCCTCAGTGCTGAGGGCAAGGCCAGGCCTGGACCTGGGGAATGTTGTTTAACTATAATTCTCCTAAAAGCCTAAGTCGGTTACTGTCACCCCGGGCCTGTGAGGAAAGAAGGGGTGGAGGAAGACCCAGAGGGCTGCCCTGGTGACAGTGATTCTGGCAACCCCTGAGTCTTAGGAGGGTCTTGTGGCGCCTAGAAGCCTAGTCGGTCGACAGGATTGGGTTCCCAGGTATGTTTTGATTTGGATACAGATAATCTCTTTCAGAGGTACTGGTAGGTTCTTGAAACTCTTCCCTCTCTGGAAGGCTGAGCCTGCAGGCAGGTGGGCAGGGCTCTTCTGACCAGAAGCCAGCAGGTGACACTAACAGAGTGGTCCTGGCTCTGTCTGTGTGTCTCTCCCCAGGGGGCCATCCTCACCACCATGCTGGCCACAAGGAATTTCTCAGGTGAGACATTCTTCTCCAGGGAGGACATGATGCTGCCCTTGACCTGCAGGTTGTAGCAGGAAGCCCCTCCTTGTTCACCAGCACCTCCACCCATCTCCAACAAGCTGGTTGGTGCCCAGCCTCTGCCCTCAGTTTGGGGACCCCTATTGCCCAGCAGGCCTCCTGGGCTCATTCTTTGGGCAGCTGCCCAGAGTCTGCCATCCCCTGCCCTGTCTCCTTCGTATTGGGTCTGTGTCCCTCACCTGACACCCTAGTGTCTGTGCTGCCCACTACCCAGCCCGCCACGTGTGTCTGTCCAGGCGTCTGTAGGGCAGCTCTGTGGCCTCTTTGTTTTCAGTGCTCTGAGCACCATGTTGTGTGCGGGATGTGGCAGAAGTGGGGGTGGGTAAGCGTGAAGTCAGCGTGTAGAGGGACCTGCCTTCTGGAAGAACTGGCGCCGCCTGCCCTGGTTGTTCAGGGTGGGTGGTGGGGAAATGAAATCTCAAGGGTCTATTAGAGACCCCCAAGGCCCAGGGTGCCGCAGGCTACCCCAGGGAGTGGTGTTGGCCTCAGCGCCCGGACAGCTGTGCCTTTGGCTTCTCCGTCGTCTGACACTGCGTGTGCGAGCGCCTGTGGTTGTCTCTCGTTGTCCGTTCACATCTGGCACCCTCCCCCTTCCTGTTACTTTGCTGTGATGCTGTACTGCCGGGAATGGGCACACATGGTCACACCAACACTAATGGGACTGTCCTGTCTGCTGTGTGCCCGGCACACGCTGCCGGGCATGAGAAGCCCCACTGGGGTGTTCTAAGGAGAAAGGAGGCAAATGCTTTTCAGTGTCAATCGGCCCAATCTTGTTTTCACTCTCCTGAGAAAGGGATTCTGGAGCCATCTGCTGCCTAAACTTTAACTCTAATCTTCTTCTGCTTCCTTTGTCTCTTTTCTTCCCTCACCTCGCCCCCCACCCCGTCTGTGTTCACCCCCCTCCCCCCCTCGTCTCTAACCTGGTGCTAACAGTGGGCAGACAGACCACCGCTCCGGCCACAATGTCCACCGCGGCCTCCGGCACCACCATGGGGCTGGTGGAACAAGGTAGATGTGTCTTGCCCAGCGTCCACCCGCTCCTGCCCGTCCTTCCTGTTGGCATGCAGCCCCCCCGCTGCACGCAGCCGCTGACCAGGTTCCCAGAGCCGCCCCAGAGGCTGGCAGGGCCCCCGGGAGCCCCTGCTCCCGCTGTGGTCACATCCCAGGAGGGTCCACCCAAGGGCAATCCTCACTTGTCTCCTCACCTATAAGAGGAGGGACTGGCTAGGTGACCCCTGGCCATGCTAAACCCAGGTACATTTGGCCAAGACCCCTAGTCCTGGTGCCTGGGGTCTGGAGACCCCATTCAGAATGACCGTGACCTCATGGGGAGCCACTGAGCTTGCTGCTGGAGGTCTGAGTCCTGGAAGGGGAGCCCTGGGAGCAGGGCTGTGGAGGCAGGGATGCTGACTCGAGGGAGCGGTGGGCCCGTGGTCAGTCCTTCTCTCAAAGCAGGCGGAGCTGGTGGTCTGTACTGCGGAGTTCCCACATGCAGGGATGAATGGGATGGCTTCAGTGCCCTGAAGAGACTCTGAAGGCCTCCTATTGGGTTCTTTTTAGAGATACTTCTCATCTAGTCCCATATCTGTGAGGGAGGAGGCAGCTCTGCTGACCTTCTTCTCAGGGAGGTACAGGTGGATCCTCCTGCCAGGAGCTGGGACATGGACCCCCTGAGGATTAGGTGACCCTGGTACCTCCTCAGAGGCTCCATAGCTGCCATCCAAGCTGAGAGCTAACACATGTTAAGGGAGGCTGCTAAGCACACAGGGTCACCCTGGGTTCTCCCCAAACCAAGCTGTAGCTTTCTCCCATAAGAACCTCCAGCAACAGCTGGGAGTAAAGGGATTACCTTCCCAAGGCCCGACTCTTCCTGCATGCCCACTTGGCTCTACCTGGTGACCCTCCAGGGCCACAGTGAGGCTATCATTGCCAGAGGGCTCTCCTTATAGAGGAGGCTCAGGCTGTCCTAAAAGGAGTCTGTTCTCCCCATGAGGGCCGAGTGAACAGTCCCAAGTCTCCATTTTATGGCCTTCTAGAAGAACGTATGGGAGGGAGGAATGGGGTTAGGAAAAGATGAAGCTAGTGGCTCCTGGAGAGGCCTGCTGCCCAGGGTACAGCGGCAAGAGACAGGCCCCTTTGAGTGACACTCTTCCCAGGACTCCTGCTGCAATGCCCGCCTGCCTGCAAGTGAGCAAGGGCGACGGTGCATGAGGCCGCCTGCATGTGCGGTTCCGCCCTGGGCTCCAAGGGCCACTCTGTCCTGGAGGGTGGTCAGTGCATGTTGATGGAGCCCAGCATGGCTGTCCAGGGGTCCCAGCTAGGGGATGAGGCAAAGGTGGGGCTGCGGGTCCCACCTGCCTGATTAGGTTGGTTCAGCTGTATTCCAGTGATATGCATCAGGAGTCTTTCTTCTCTGTGTTTCTGTCAGACGTCCCAGTGTGGCAGAGCACCTCAGCCAGCAGGGAAACCTTTGCTGTAGARTGTTGTCCTCCAAAATCCCTCCAACATTGAGCAGATGTGAGAGCAAAGAAGACCATAACTATCAGGCTAGCTGTGGGTTGGCTGCAGTTTCTTGGCCTGACCACCCCTGGGAATAGGCAGTATCCTCCCAGGGGTGGAGGGTCACTGGCCTGTGGAGTCCCCAGGTGAGATTTGTGGGATCCCATGACTGCTCCATCCACCTTTGGCTCCTGCTGCACCTAAAGGACATAGTTAGTCCAGGGCAGGTGTGGATATTGAAGAAAGAAGTGGACCAGGAAACCAATGGCCAGGAACTGCCTACTTAGGAAGGGCCAGGCTGCGCTTCATGCTGCACTCAAGACATGCACAAGGGCTGATGTAAAACAGGGGTTCACAGGGAGGATGTTGAAATGACATAGGTATAAGCTCAGGGCTCAAAGCTTTCTGGGGCTGGGCCAAAGCCATGGCTCATCCAAGTCCTCAGACTTGGCACATCCACCCCAGCCTCAACTCTGTCCTTTTCCTTCCTGTGGATAACTGTTAACATCTCCAGTAGTGCAGCTTGGAAAAGTGGGTTTTRATAGACTTGTGGACCCATATGGAGCCCTCTTATGACCAAGGACAGTCCTGGGGTCTCTACAGGCCTGCAGATGCTTCCTTTCCTGTGAGAATCATTTGGAGACAAGCCAAGGGGGAAGGTAGGAGGATCCCATGTCTGGCCGACTCTCAGATCAGTATTGTCTTGCACTATTTCAACTCAGAATCCAGCAGGGAATGTGCTGGCTTGGCCAAGGCTGTGTGGCCTGATAGGAGGTAGAGTCAGGCCTACCTTGTGCAAAACACCCATTGAAACTGCTGCATTTAAAAAGTCACATCCCTAGAGGGATGGAGGTCCCTTCTCTTGCTGCTCAGCTTGCCATGACAAGTGTCTTTAAGACTCTTGTCTTCCTCTGTATGCCCCAAGGAGGAGCCTGTTCTCCTGCTGTGTCAGCAGCAGGTCACCAGCAGGAAGAGGTCTCCATGCCACAGCCTTAGCAGTGCCAGGCGCAGCTCCATGCCAGGGGCAGATGGGCATTCCATGCTGCCTGTACTGGGTAGATATCTTTGGGGATGAGCTGTGTGTTAGAGATAGGGAAGGAGAGAGGCAGGGTCCACAGACAGGAGTGGGGCTGCCCTGGACCAGGACTAGCCTATCCCTGTGTACTAAGTTTTAAGGAGATATACTCTAGCCCCAGTGAGGGGAGGATTTTCACCGTCTGTGCTCTAGGAAAGAAGTTGGAATTTCTGGTCCTGGGAACCCTTGGCAGGGCTGCCCTAGGGTATCAGGGTAGTCCCTGGAGCTCCATGGGGGGTGGGGGGAGGGTACTCAATCTTGCGGGGATGAACGGCAGAGGACAGGATGCAGGAGTCCACTGCCTGCTTAGCTCCAGAGGAGACCTGCTCTCAAGATCCTGACGTAACCCTGGACTTGGCAGAAGTTTTGTGAGAGTTAACAGATCCACAAGGAGGGAGACCGTGAACTAAAACTGTGCCGCCACAGCAGGCTGGGCCTGCCTTTCAGGGTCTTGAGGTTGTATGCAGCTCCTGGGTGGTTGTGACCCTGTGACACCACATGCAGAGCCTGGGAGGGACCAGGCCACCCAAAGAAGCAAGGGTCAGAACTGCCCTGTGAGATTGTGGGTAGATGCCAAGGTTCCCAGGCTTCTGACTTAAGAGGGCTGGGTGGCCCAGGAATTTGTATTTCTGCTCATGCAGGGTGCTACTGTTGCTGCTGCTTCTTGGGGGACACCCTGTTTGAGAATGCTGCAGCCCTAGGTCTCTGTGTGCAGACCCAGGCCTGCCCTGGGCAGTAAGAGTCCCCCTCTGGATAGCAGCAGAGCCCAGCATCAGGCATGGTCAGCAAGCATCCTGGAACCGGGTGTGTAAGGAGCTGTGCCTCCTCCTTCCTCACTGGACCTGGGGCCAAGGGACCCCACCCCTCCCGTGCCCTTCGTGCTGTGCCCAGCCCTGGCTGCTTCTCTAACCTGCTGTACCGGCCACACGGCCACTTGGCTGTCCTTGGGGAATGCTGGGCCAGGACGGGCTGGCTTTGCTGCCCCGTGTGAGTGCCTGCCTGAACCAATACAAATCTTGTTTTCTCTTTCTTCCTCTCTTCCTTTCTCACTCCTTCCCTTCCTCACCTTTCCTTTTCTGTAAGGTAAGCTGACTTCCTCCTTTTTTTTTTCTTTTTTTTTTTTAAGTTCTAAAATTAAAATTCTAACTTTTGCTGTGGAGGGTGTGAATGCTGGGGGTGGAGGACGGGGCAGAGCCAGGTCTACCCTGACCTCTGAGGGGAGTTTTGGGGTCACAGGTCATCTGCTGGGCCTGGGCATCCGCTGGGGCTTGTGGGCAAAAAGGCTGCTGTTGGCCCCAGTGAGTGCCACTAAGAAATGGCCCCCACAAGCAGGGTTGTTGGGACAGTTCAGGAAGACAGCAAGGCCAAGGCATTTGGACACTGGTGGAGAGGTCGGAGTCCCATTGTTAGAAAGAAGGGTGGGGTCTGAGCAGGGCATGTACCTGGGCTGGGATGAACCCCTGATGGGAACATGGTGAACTGTGGGAGTCAAGACCTTCCCTCCTTGCTCAGCTGCCCACGACCCCCAACCTGCTGCCAGCCCCCAAGGGAGGAGTCCACATTCTCCCTCTCTTGAAAGCCAAGGGGCACAGGGCTAGAAGGCACCTCCGTGCCCTGTTGGAGCCCCAAGGTTGCAGAAGATTCTGGGGAAGGGGCAATCCTGGGGTGAGGGGTCCCTGGGCAGTGTGGCCCAGCCCCCTCTGGAGGTTCTGATGCTGCTCAGGGCCTGGCTATGTGCCGAAGCCACAACTGTTTCCAGTCCTGGGCCTCACTCCTGGGGAAAGGGCAGAGATAGGTGGGAGGGTTGGGTCCACAGGGAGACCCGGGCCCATCACTAACAATGCCTTCTTCCTTCCCAATGCAGCAGCCAAGAGTTTACTCAACAAGAAGGCAGATGGAGTCAAGGTGAGAAGCCAGTTTGGCCTTAGGGGCCCAGATCCTAGAGCTCTGCCCCTGCCACTGAGGCTGTGGCTTTAGAGACCCTGAGAAGCATGGGAGGAGAAGTGGGTACCCTTTTTCTCCCTAACAGCTCCTCTCCTCTCTCTCCACAGCCCCAGACAAACAGCACCAAAAACAGTTCGGCCATCACCAGCCCCAAAGGGACCCTCCCTCCTGCTGCCCTGGTACTGAACTCCTCAACCCCTGGCCCCTCCCACACCCACTGTCTGAGAGGCCCTGTGAGGTGGGGTCCCACCCAGCCTGGCTGGTCTCTGACAGCACACACCTACCCCGACCAATCCCACACTTGCTGGGGGCAGTGATGGGGGATTTGGTCTCAAGTGAGAGTCCACTGGTCAGGGGCCCCAGGTTCAGGCCAGTACAGAGCTGTTCAGGGAACCCCTTTCTGGAGTCCGGAGATATAGGTAGAGAGGAGAGGTCTGTCCTCCCACCTATGCTGCCTTATGAGTCATCCCCCCAAGAATCTGCAGCAAGAGATTGTTCAGGAAGCTGGTGAGGCAGAAGACAAGGGCACTGCCATGGCTCCCCATCCCCCCAGGGACCTCATCCTCAGCTTCTCTGCCACCCTCAACAGGTTGACCCAGCTTAGGGGTGTAGCCTGGAGTGACACACCCCGAGTCYCATGGGGTTGGGGGCCATGGTGGTGTAGTGAGATGTCCAGCAGCATCCAGGGTGTGCTTGCCCCTCCCATCTGTTCCTATCAAAACTAAGGTACCCTGCTGGTCTATGGATGCCTGAAAGGGAGGCTGGGGGCTCCCTGCTGGGGAGGGGTGGGGATGCTGACTCCCCTACTATGTATCACTCTGCTTCTTGAGGTGGTATTGACCATCTCTGGCCTCTTTGCCCTGGGGGGCTCCTGTCCAGGTAAATCTCACAGCTGGCATTCTCAGAGATGTGGAGTTGTGACCAGAGGGCACCAGCCTCCTGCTGAGGCACCATATGCTTACACTCACTATCCAGGGGCAGTTTGGAGTCTGCTGGGCCATAGGCTCCTAAGTTTGCTAGAAGTATGCTTGGAATCCCCCATGGGCCTCAGGCCAGGCTTCTGGGAGACAGCCCAAGACTGTCCACAGGAAGGCTGCCTTTGCCAAATGGTTCCCTTGAGCTCATGGGGAGTCCTCAGGAGAGGAAAGCTGTCCTGTATAGGCAGTGGGGAACCTGCTCAGAGCAGCTGGGCTGTGGCAAGAGGGTGCCAGGCACCACCTAGGTCCTCCCAGTGGGCCAAGGTGGCTCACACACCCGCCTCACAGCCAGCCCCATTTGGGCCCTGTCCATCCCATGTACCACTCCCACCCCGATGGCATCTTTAAGCCTGTGCCTCCCCCATGCTGGGGCAGAGGGTCCAGGCAGCAAAGGGTGGGGAGAACTCCTGGAGGCAGAGCCCACATGTACCTGCAGCTTCTCTTGGCCCCCATGAGCTCCATCATCCCTCGGGAGGGCAGGCGCCGTCTCCAGCCTGGGAAGATCTGTTGGTTCCATCATGTTGGTCGGACCCCAGCCTGCTCCACTGCCCTGAGGGCCATCGCTGACCACCTGCTGCCTCCATCCCTATTGGGCCATCTCGCTGACCACTTGTCGCCTCCATCCCTGTCCCCTCTGCTCTGCACTCTCTCTGGGTGGACTCTGGCCGCTGCCCACTCCTCCTCTRTCTCCCTGGCTCCCCTGTCCTCTGCTTCCTTCTTTCTCACTCTCCCTCTCTTTCCTTCCTCTGTCTGCCGCCTTCTATAGGAGCCTCAAACCACCGTTATCCATAACCCAGTGGACGGGATTAAGGTACTGCGGCTGCCTCACTCCTCCTCACCCTTTCCTCGGGCAGGAGGCGCCGGGCCCAGGAGGAGGGTCTGGACAGTGACCTGGGAAAGCATTTGTGCCCAGAGTGGAGGGCAGGTGTGCAGTGGCCTGAACTCCCAAGGCAGGGCAGAGCCCACAGGCCCACCTGCCTGGGGACCACAGCAGGAAACGAAGCGCCAGGCGCTTCCCTGGGAAGAAATCTTACAGCTGTGCCCTGTCACCACATGCCAGCTCTCAGCCAGGCTCTGAGGGGACCTCCCACTACAGGCACTGGGGCAGGTCCACGGCTCAGGAACTTTGTCCTTGCCCCTCTGGCTGCCCCCCACCCCTCAATCCCTAGCATAGCCCCAGTGCTTCCTGCTGAGCGGACCCCACCCCTCCTCTCTGCTCTGCCATCCGCTCCATCACATTGGCGTCATCACCTAGGGCCGGGGAAGGGGCTGGCTCTCTGTGGTGGTGGGAGGGATGGGCAGGTGGCTGAACCCTTTCCAGTACAGCACCCATGCCAGCAAGCAGTTAAGACTTATGCCAGGACCTGAGCTCCCTAATGAACCCCCAGAATGCCCCCCATGAGGCCCCCATTCCCTTCTGAAGGTTCCAGAAGACACCATCCCATGGCAGGGACCAGAGGCTGTGGGCATCCACAGTGCTAGACACCAAAGACCTGTCTTCCTTCCGCTTGGATGATGGGTGCCCCTTGGGCCCTGTGTGTTTGGAGAGGGATCATATTTCTCTGTGAGGGACCCCTAGACAACATTTTCTGGGTTGAGGTGAGCCACGATCCTACACTTGAACACCTCCAGTTCTGGCCTAGGGCCCAGAGCAAAGTCCAGTCAGTGTCCAGACCAGGGGGTAGTCCCTCAGGGACCTATGAGATAGATATTCCTTCTGAGGAACAGAGCAAGGTCCCTGGAGACATGAGGCATCTGGATACTGTTTTTCTCTGAAGGGCAACAGACACTTGAGGTGGGAAGGGCTGGGCCTGGCAGGATTTGGAGGGGCAGATGGCTCAAGTGGGCATCTCACTTTTTTCTGGGGAGGGGCTAGGTGGCAGGTATATTCTGTCTGGGGCCCCAAGAGACTTGAATCTGAAAGTTGCTCCATCTAAATGTCAAATGCCCAGGCACATCACCAGGAGTCAGAAAAATCACCTTGTGTTTTAAGTCTTGAAATTTCAAAGTGCTGGTTCCTCTCATTAGACAGTCAGTTAAGCATCCCAGAGTCTCGTTGGGAAAAGGGAAGTCAAGGCCCTTGCTGTTGGGGATGTGGATGGATGCTGCCTATGGTGGGGCAGGATGAGGCCTTGAAAGGGCTGCTGCACAGATCAGGGAGCTTTCTCCTCCAGTTACTGCTCCATAAGATTTGGGGGGCCCCAAGGCCTGCCACCACAGGCCTGACCCAGAGCCCTTGGCTAGTCCCACTGCTGGCTGTATCCTTTCTGTCCTCAATCACATCCTGACCTGCGCCTCCCCTGTTTCCTCAGGAATCTTCTGACAGCACCAACACAACCATAGAGGATGAAGATGCTAAAGGTACCTACCAGAGACCTAGCCCATCCATGCTGGGTTACTCTTTGGGGTGGATAAGCCTTCAGGGGGTCCAGTGTCCTGCAACACAGCAGCTTAGGACCTGGTGTCAGAGGCTGCCCAGTGTGGGCAAGAAGCAGCTTTGAGACCACCACCAAGCTTCTCAAGTACCCTGTCCAAGTGAGGAAGCCATGGCCATGAATTGGGGCTTGTTCTGTTCTGGGAGCCAGGAGCTCAGTTCCCATGGGGGACCAAGCATGAGGGTAGAATTTGCTCAAGATGTTGTTCTTCTCTTAAAGTTCCTTAAGCTTGTGATTCCGTCCATCTTGCACTGGTGAGTGGCTGGGTGACTGAACCATACTTCGTTTCCCGGGAGCACCCCCCTCCCTGTGGTGGGCTTCAGTGCTATACCCTGATCCCAAAGCTCTTCCTGCAGACCACAGCCTTGTGTGTTCCTCCCAAAGACCACAAGGCACCTGGCACCATCGAGTGGTCCCCCAGCCTATCTTYTGCCTTGTCCAACTCCCCAGAAGTAGCCTGGTAGCCATCCAGGCAACCTATTACCTAGTCYATCAGCTGCCCTTTAGGATGGCCCCAGGGGTCAGATGGGGGTTCTGATCCTACCCATCCCATCCAGCTGTGATGTTATTCCTGAATGTCCCTCAAGCTTCAGAGTGAGGCAAGCATAGGGCTTTGGGCCCTTGACACAGGACAGTGGACATCTATGTTGTTCCCCCACAGATTGAAACAGGCCCTAAAGTCAGCAGTATGAAGACCACTCATACTTTCCTGTTCAAGATTGTGCCCTCAGCATGGGGCAATAACAAAGGTGGCTGAGCCTCAGTTCTGCAGGGAGATAGAAGAGGACAAGGGGGACAGGATAAGGCTCAGAGACAAGGCAGGAAACCAATATGGGGCAGGTCCTGGGGCTGCAGAACAGGGCCACTGGGCCTCTCTCACCTCAGCCAGGACAGGCCCAGTGGCCACAATGCCTTGTGGTGATTGTCATTCCCACTTCCTGATTCTACAGGTCCTGGCCAGGGGCCACCAAATGAGGCTTCCTGACCCCAGTGGGTGGCCCCAAAGGATGACCCTCCTCACCCATCTCTGTTCACCCTCCAGCTCCCAGCAGTGGTCTGGGGTTCAGCGATAACCTCCCTCCTCCCCTTTCTAGCCCATTATGGGGCCTCTGCTGCCCCCTTTCCTAAGTGCCTGTCGCCTACCCACCTGCCTCTGTTCACCCCAGGCCCCAGGGTCACTGATGTCCTAAGCTCGGTGAGGAGAGGCTCGGGAGCCCCAGAAGCTGAGGGGCCCCTGCCCTGCCCATCTTCAACTCCTATTAGCCCCCTGCCAGCCCCATGTAAGTAGCCCGGGCCCTGCTGCTGCCGGGATCACTTTGAAGGGCGTGGCAATCCTCTCTGAAGGGCTACTCAAGAACCAAGTGGGGGGGGACTGAGTTTGGACCAATGGCTCCAGCCTGATTCAGCCCTTGGCCTCTATATCAGGCTCCCAGAGCTACCTTTGCCCAGTGAATGCCACCTCCATATAAGCCAGGGCCAGAGGCCTCTGTCTATGGGGAAACTGTCCCAGCCTACCTTCCAGCTCACAGCCTGCCTCTGGGYAGTCTGGGAGGCTTTGAAGGGTCAGGTCTTGATACCATGATCTCCAAGAATAGCCCAGTTATCTCTCTGTCCCATTCAGGGGACTTCTTGCTGCTGAGATAGCCCTCATGTGGGAAGTCTGARCCCAGGGCCCTACTTTCCTCCCTCCTCTCGGCTCTGCCATCTTCTCATGTGTCTGTCTGCCTCGTGTTCATGTCTTGTCTGTTCCACCCAGCCCCCAGGATCTCTGACATCCTGAACTCGGTGAGAAGGGGCTCAGGAACCCCAGAAGCCGAGGGGCCCCTATCAGCAGGGCCTTCACCCTGCCTGTCTCCGGGTCTCCTAGGCCCCCTGCCCACCCCGTGTAAGTAGTGGCCTCCAGGCCTGCTGCCTTTCCTGCTGAGGGCTCACTGCGAATGGCCAAGCGTTCACAGCTTCCTGCACCTGCTGTGCACGGCCCAGCTCGCCCTAGGCCAGGATGCCCAGTGGGTATCCAGCCTGGCTGGGCTTCCTGGGGGCACATGCGCTAACTCAGCAAGGCAGCTACTTGGCTTCTGCCTCCAGGGACCCAGCTGTCTTTGTGGCTCATCTCCTACTCCCTACTCCCCACCTGCTCGCCGCCCACCTCGCTGTCAGCTCTAGGCCTCTCCCTCAGAAGGGCTGTCCTACACTTGGGCAGTTGGCCTGGCCCCTCCTTGCCCCCTCAGGCAATCTTTGCTGAGAATTTTCCAGCCTTGCTGACTTCACATCTGGTTCACCCTGCCCTGCCACAATGCCCAGGAGCCTACTCCCAGGGATGCCTCTGGTTTCCAATGTACCCTCAAGCCCAGAGCACAATTTCCTCAGCAAGGGGTGGAGGGTTGAGGAATGTGCTGAAATTGGAACCCCAGTCAGGGTCCCCACAGTTTATAGGCAAAGAGATATATCATAAAGGCTTGGCCTTTACTGACTTGTGCTGTCCACATGGGCCAAGATCGTGCYTCCTCTTAGATTTTCCTTCCCTGGGTACAGTGGTACACATCTGTAATCCCAGTGGCTCAGGAGACTGAGGGAGGAGAATCACAAGTTCAAAGCCAGCCTCAGCAACTCAGCGAGGCATTAGGCAACTTAGTGAGACCCTGTCTCTAAATAAAATACAAAAAATGGCTGGGAATGTGGCCCCCTGGTTAAGCATCCTTGGGTTCAATCCCTGGTACCAAAAAGAAAGAAAGATTTCCCTTCCCTTCCTCATCCATTTTTYCCCCATCTATCAAGCCCTTCCCAAGGGCCAGTTACATGAAAAAATATCCTGTGGCTTCCTTTGGGCCAGGTTGCCTCTCCTTGGAGGGCACCCTCTGCCCATAGCAGCTTCCAGTTCAGCCCACCTGGACAGACAAAGGCATCCTGGTTCATTCTGGAGCCAGCTCCCCACATTCCTTCTGTCCTCCCACATCCCCACACATCCCCCTATGTCTACCTTCCATCCTCCTATATCTCCCTCTGTCTTCCCACTCTGGCTTGGCTCTCAGCCCATAGTTTTCTCTCTTGCATGTCCCCTCACCCCACTGTGTTCACGTCTGTCTGTTCCACCCAGCCCCCAGGATCTCTGACATCCTCAACTCGGTGAGGAGGGGCTCAGGTACCCCAGAAGCTGAGGGCTCCCTGCCAGTGGGCCCCCCACCTTGCCCATCTCCGACTCTCCCTGGCCCCCTGCCCACCCCGTGTAAGTAGCACTTTGAGTGGCCCTGGAAGCTGTTTGGATGGGCTCAAAGGGGGTGAGCCCCTGCTGTGGTGTGTCACCAACCTGGCTCTGGGAAGGCCTAGCTTTTGGAGACATGGGGGACACAGGGTCCCTCTACTGGGTCATGGAAATTTGCATCAAGGCACATAAAGAAGTCATTTGGTCTCATAAAATTAAAATTATGGTCATGAAGTATGTGTGTATGCATGTGCACGTGCGTGCAGGTGTGCATGTGTGTGCACAAGTGCCCGCACGCACACATGTGCATATGAATACCTGCATATAGGAAAAGCATCCCAAGTGACGTGTTTGTTGCTAACCTGTGCACTACCCTGTGGGCCATAGCTTTCTTCTGATGGGAAAGTAAAGTGGGCAGCTGCCCCTGCAGTGCTGATCTCTTCAATGCAAGAGGCAGAGGGTCCATTCTTTGGCCAGGGCCCTTCACATTGTACAGGTTGCACTCTGATGAGGATGGACTTGCGTGGATAGTATGGCAGGAAAAGAAACATAGTCCTGGGTACTGAAAAGTTCTGGCATTCCAGCTGCCCAGCTGGACATCAGGGAGCAGACTTGAGGGCTAGCCAGGGGCAAGAGAGGGCGGGAGAGACAGGCGCAGACTGGGCGGCCTCCCCAGTCTGTCTGCTGACTGCCGGCCAGTATCACTTACAGGGATGGATGATATCCCAGGGCTGCAGCCGCCACCACCCCCGCCTCTAGGGAGACACAGAGTTGGGGGTGGTGCTGAGATGCTCTCAGAGAAGAGGCTGCCGGGCCAGGGGCTCGGCATGGCAGGGCARTGGCTGGGTGAGTACTTGTAATAGGTGGGGCCTGGGGCCACCCACCTCCCTAACACTCTGCAGGCCAGCCTTGGGGGACTGCTGCAGGTGTCTGGGGCAGAGTAGAGGARACAGAGAGACCTACAGAAGCAGTGGCCCAAGAGGGTGGGGATATGCAGCCTGCAGTCTCAAAGGGGCTCCAGGTCAGCTGGGGTGATTGGAGATGAGGTGCTGAGGCAAGAGGCCAGGTTCTTGCTGGTGAGGGGGGTGGGGTGGACAGCAGCTAAAGCTCATGAGGGAGGCAAATAGGAAAAGCACTGGGGTGAGCACAAAGTGGGGCTTCTGGGAGTGTCAGCACCCTTTTGCATTTATTTCTGCAGCATCTCATCTGRTTTTAAGGAGTCCTGCTGCCCTTATGGAGGGCAAGCCGGACAGTTAGCTGGGTGGCTATTCTAGGTAAGGGCCTGTGGGGAAACTGAATGGCTGGGTCACCTTAGGGACCATTGCATAGACTTGTTCCTTTAGGGTCTGTTCTGAACTTGGCTAGAGAAGGAAGGGCTACAAGAAAGGGTCTGTGAACAGGACTGGATGGTTTGGCTACCCTGGAAGGAGCTGGGCAGGGCTAGGCAAAGTGCAGGGAAAGAAGTCTGTGGAACTTAGGGAAGGAGGAGGGCACCAAGTGCCAGCTCCATGCCATTCTGCAGGCAGATTTTGAATCTCCCCCCTTTCTTGAGAAGGTGCCCACAGCTATCTTAGTTTGTGAATAGCCAGGTGCCACTGGCCCACCTCAGGTCAGACCCTCCTACCCGGGTGCTCCCTGCACCCCAGGCCTAGCCCCCTAATCAGGGATTATGCATGAGGCAGGCTGATCCACGCTGATCCAGGCTGATCCCGGGGCAGCTGTCCTGCCTCCCACCACTGCTGATTCTGAAGGACAGGGCTTTGAGCCAGCTGGGGTCAGATTCTACACCAGCCCCACTTGGACACTAGGAGGTTCCCTAGGCTGGTAGCTTCCTGCAAGAGAGCTGCAGGTAGCGTGAGGCCCTGGCTCACACTGGGCTGGGGAAAACCCTCCCAGGCCATACCTTGCCCACCACTTGAGCTTCTTCCCTGGAGTTGTTGGGGACAGGGTATCTTGTCTTCAGCTGCAGGCATCATGCCTCAGGCGTCCCTTCATGCTGGGGGCGCCCTGCTCCCTCCCTCATGGGTGGTTTCCTTCTCCAGAGACCTGGATATCAAGAACTCAAAAATGCCCACAAGCTATTTGGAAAGACAGAGTGGGCTGGGTTGCATGGGGATCTAAGCAGCAGCCATTCCTCAGGGTAAGAGGTGTCTGGCCCCAATTCACAGGTTTCAGCTTCCTTACCTGTAGAATGGGCAGGAGGCTCTCCCAGCAGATCCTGTTTCCAACTCTGAGACCCTGTTTACTGCCTCTTGACTGGTGCTATGACCATGGACCTCCTCTTCTGCTTACTTAACATTTTCTCTTTACATTGACTCCCATTTTTAATTATAGTTTGTTTAAAACTATATTCCTCAAATGAAAGATTGGTTCCACTTACCAYAGTATAAGGTGACTATAGAATCAAAGCCCACTGGAAACAAAACAATGTCCTCCATTCCAGTCAGATTCTGCCCTGTGCTGAGGGCATAGCAGGAGGAGGAGGGCAGCTCACTCTGTTAGAAGCTCTGTTAAAAAGGGGATTATCAAGTGTCAGGAGGTGCTGGACAGTGGAAGGCAGGGGCGACAGCCCAGGGAGCCTGGCTCTGGGACTGGGGAAGAATTTGGTTGCAGGTTCAGGAGAGCTCAGACCTGAAGCTCTGAGCCACCTCCAGAAAGAATAGGTTAAGTGGGGCATTATGGGCACTTAGAATTTTGCAACCCTGGTGGGGTCCAGATGTTAAGGACCAGAATAGCTGTTGCACATTTGGAACAGAGCCCTGGTACTCTCCCAGAGCTGGGCATATAGATGTGGGACTGGGAACAGGAACTGGAGGGGAAAGGGTTTCTGGAACTCACAACCCACTCCTCCTGGAGACCATCTTTCTAGAATTGATTGTGTGAGTAGCGGGATTAGGCACCTGCTGTGAGACTACCCTGAACACAAACAGTGATATGATCTAGACACAAGGCCAGGCAAGAAATGGAAACAGAATGATGGCACAGGTACAGCTGGGTTAGGAGAGAGGGCCTTTCCACGATAGGGGCAGATCACAAACATGCATGCATGTGCACACATATGGACATGTACCCACAGACACAGCATATGGGCACTGATATGCACTATGTCACATACACACATGCAGGTGTGTAACTGTAGCATTGTGTACATGCACACTGCATGACTGCTACGTGCATGCACTCATACACAGGTATACATGTTTGCCTGCATGCACAAGCATGTGTGTGCACACATGCACATTCTCACACATGAATGCACCCAACTCCTCAGAGGTGCCATTGAGCAACTTCTGCCCTCACTGGCCAGGTGCTGCAGGGACCAAGCAAGGATAGCTCATATTTCGCATGCAGACACAGATGCCTTCTGCCAGCACATGTGGTCACACGTGGGCTGCCATGTAGCAGGCAGTGTCTCTGCAGTGGTGGATTTAGCCTCCTCCCTGCCTTCCAGGTACAAGTTCCCCTGTGTCCCAGAGGTGCTGCAAAAATGGTGACAGGCAGCCCTGCCATGGGATATATTATTGTCTCCTGCTTTCATCTTTAAAAATTTTACAATAAACTGTAATTAAAGCAGCAAAGGGGCTTCCAGTTTATTGCCCTAGAGGTTAGGGAGCCTGTCTAGAAGCCTAGAGCCAGAACCCAGGAAAAGTGTCAGCCAGGAGTAGCAGCAGACTTGAGGCCAGTTGGGGTAGAAGGGTCTGCCAGGACTCCAGCCCAGGACTAGGACAATAAATAGGCAGAGCCACAGGCTGTGGCTTCCAGGGAAAAGCAGGATATGGGGTAGCCAGAGACTGCATATTTTTTCCTGTGGATCCCTGGACCATCTTGTACCTTAGCCTTTGTTCAGGAGCCCCTCACCCTCCAGGGACCTTGGAGTCACTCYCTGAGTCTGCTGATGGCTATACCTGCCTGGTGCTGACCCCTAGTAACCCACCACTCTTACCAGCTGCCAAAGAGTTGCTGGGGGAAGGAAGTACTAAGTTAACAAGGCAAAGGTGGAAGATGGAGCAGGCAGATAAGTCAGGGTAGAAGTTACAGGAAAGCCCAGGTAGGACCCATGGAGATAGGAGGACCATTGTGGGGCGAGTTGTGAAAAGGGCTTTTTCCCCCCTTTCTGCATTTTTCAGACATTTTGTTATATGGATGAAGTATTTCTGTCATTTAAAAACATTTAAAGAAAAATGAGATAGAGCTATTGCACTTGGAAATGAGGAAACCATTGATGACTGTGGAGGGAGTGGTGTGATCAGGATAGTTTCGGCACAGGTGCCAGGGCCTGGGAGTCCTTTCTAGAAACCAGAAGCAGAAACTAGGGTGGGAGCCGCCACATGGATACAGCCTGCAGCTCGAGCTCCACCCAGGCCCCCCACCTCAGTGCCCAGTGGTCATCCCAGTGTTTTCCTGCAGCCCGGAAGCAGGAGATTATCAAAACCACAGAGCAGCTCATTGAGGCCGTCAACAATGGTGACTTTGAAGCCTATGCGTGAGTCTCTGGGGGGCTGGGGTGGGGGGTTGTTGAGGAGGATGGAAAACTGGGCCCCTCCTCACTTGGGTTTGCCCCCCAGGAAAATCTGTGACCCAGGCCTGACCTCATTTGAGCCTGAAGCTCTAGGCAACCTGGTCGAAGGGATGGACTTCCACAGATTCTACTTTGAGAACCGTGAGTGAGGAAACTGGGGTGGGCATGAGGGGGTAGCACCTTCAAGTGCTTCAGTCAGGGGCAGGGCTGTGGCCAACTATGGAATCATCCCCATGAAGGGGAGCCAAGGTGGTGGGGGCATAGAGCCAGGTGTGCAAGTCAGATGCTGAGGTGGAGGGGGATTAAGGTGCATGCAGAGTGGGGGAATTGCTGGAGGGACCAGTTATCTTCAGTGCCAAGTCCCCACCTGTCTGCAGTGCTGGCCAAGAACAGCAAGCCGATTCACACGACCATCCTGAACCCACATGTGCACGTCATTGGTGAGGACGCAGCCTGCATCGCCTACATCCGCCTCACGCAGTACATCGACGGGCAGGGCCGGCCCCGTACCAGCCAGTCCGAAGAGACACGTGTGTGGCACCGCCGTGATGGCAAGTGGCAGAATGTGCACTTCCAYTGCTCGGGAGCACCTGTAGCCCCACTGCAGTGAGGTGAGTGGCCCTTGGGGACAATGGCCAGCAGTGTCACAGGGCACACCCTGAAGGCTGGAAACTGATGAGGCTGGAGAAGCCGTGCAGGGAGAACTTGGTGGGTCATAGTGGAGGGGCTCCCTAGCGCCATTCATCAGCACCTAAGATGGGGATCACCTGTGGTAGGCACAGGGGCCAACGCCCAGGTAGTAATTGAGCCTGGAGCCCTCTCCCGGCCAGGCCCATTTGTGAACATTAACTTGCCCACTCCCTGTGGGGGCCCTCTTTGTAGACAGCAAAGCCTGGGGGCCTGGTACAGGGGTGGGGTGCTGAGGAAGGTGACCCACCCTTGTTTCAGAGCTGCGCCTGTTTCACCGGACAGAGTTGGTGTTTGGAGCCCGGCCGCCCTTGGGCGCACGGCCTGCCTGTCGCATGTTTGTGTCTGCCTCGCCCCCTCCCCTGGTGCCTGTGTCTGCAGAAAACAAGACCAGACGTGATTTGTTTTTAAAAATAAGATGACGACAACGACAACCACTCAAAAAAATTTGACATCGGATGAAATGGGAAAAGGAAAAAAAAAAAAAAAAACTAAAGAAAGGAAAAGCTGTAAAAATCTGGCATTTGTGGGGTCGCTCCCCACCCAAGCTCCACGTGTGTCCGTTTCGCTCCTGGCCTTGGGGAGCCCTTGGGGCATGAACATACCCACGAGGCCCCCACGCGTGCTGAATGGTGTTAGTCTGTAGGTATTGCACTCACCCCACACCTCAGGCATCTGCATCCTCCTGCCAACGCATGGGCCCTGTGTGTGCTGCCTGGCTGTTGTGGTGTCAGGTGTCTTGGGGAGGGTTGTGGGGCCACTGGGCTGCCTCCTTTCCCGCTAGTCGTGCCTGAGAGTTGCTGCTGTTCCTGCTTTCCCTTCCCTTCCCTCATCCCTGTGAAGGGCTGGGTGTGGGCTTCCTCAAGTCACTATCCAGCATGGATAGCCCCTCGCCMCTTGAGTGTGCAAGAGACCACCGCCCCCAAGGCTACCAGAGAAGCCTCAAGGGCCCTGGGCTCCAGCTCTGGTCCTTTGGGGAGTGAGGTGTGGAAGGGTAAAATTTGCCTCCAGGCCTTGTGCCTGGCTAGAGGACACTTTGGCTGCAGCTCTGATCTGTCCAGCTGTGGAGAGGGGAATCAGCCAAAGGCTGGCCTCCCTGTTGTTTGGAGCACCTGTCCCTTCCCTGCTGGCCAGCAGCAGAACAACAATGGCCCTCCCTCAGCCTGGGCAGCTCCTCCCTGTGCAGCTGGGAGCAGACCTTACCAAGGACTGTGGGTCTGGAATCTCTGATGGACAATGGATGCTGGGAGCAGGCCAGGCTGCATCTGCAGAGATGGGGAACTGGGGGGCTCAGGGCTGGGTTGAGTGACACAGCAAGTTTGAAAGAGGGGTAAGAAGGTGCTGGGCTTCTGCCTGGGCAGGGATCTGAGTAGTTGTTTGCTGACGTAGGAGTACTTTCATTACCTGGGCCTGGAGCAGAAGTCTCTGTGGGAGCCATCCAGGAGCACGTGGAAGGCCAAGGGTAGTGGTGGGCCAGGGATGCAGCCTAAAGAGGTTAGGCTGGGGGCAAGATGTATGGGTGTGGGGCTAGACACTGATGGGTGGAGGGAGGGTCCCTAGGGACAATGTGCTGCCTCCAGGGGCCGGTGGTGCTCCCAGGTGTAGTTGCCTGGGCTCACTGTGAGGTGGTCCCGGCCCCTTGTGATGGTGGGTGCCACGGCAAGGCTAAAGACAGAGTCCCAGGACAGTTGGGCCAGGGAAGGTGGGTCTGAAGCCAGATTGGTAGGAGTGGGTAGGAGCCTTGAGTGCAGAGGTACAAGGGCCTCCACCCCAATGCTGCCCACCTTCAGTTCACGTCATTTTTCAACAAGGATTTTCTTTATCTTCCCCCACAAATCAAGTCAAGGGAGGGGCACAGAGTGGGGGACAGGACACAGGATCCTAAACTCCAAGGGGACTGCCCACCCATGGACACTCAGTGGACACCACCTTTCGTCCATACTGTGCCCAGGACAGCTGTCCTCATCCATGGACACAGGGTAAACATCTGCCAGGTTCCGCGCGAGTGGCTCAGGCCACAGGACAGCGGCAGGGCTTGCCATGGACAGCGTGCAGCCCCGCGGCCGGCCACCCTGGCGTCCTGGGGCCTCCTCCCCACCTCTCCCACTCACCTTGTTATCTCCACGGAGCTGCCTGTCTGGGATAATTTGGGGATTTTTTTTTTCTGGGGGATAATTCTTTTGCATGACCCTCTCTAAAGGGCAGGACACACCTGCTCTGCTAGCTAGGTGTTTGCGGGTGGTGGCGTTGGCCGCTGGCCAGTGCTGCAGGGAGTCACTGTCTGCAGTGCTGGCGGCCCCTTCCTCTTCTCTCTTTTTGCTGAGTTTCATTGTCTTTTCTTTCTGAGCCTTGTAGGTGTACAAAAATTATTCTTATTTTGTTCTGTCTCGGGAAACTGCAAATAAAAGAAAAACAGGACAAACTGCTTCAACTCCAGCTGGGTGCTTTATGTTGGGACCCTGCCAACCCCTTGCCCCACAGTATAGACCCACATCCACTCCCTGGCCCTGACCTGGCTCAGGCCCCTCCCCTGATGTTGCAGAGGGATGAGGCCCTATGTCCCTCTAGGGTGGCTAGTGGGTCATAGCAACAGCTGTCTTCACCCCTTGTCTGGGTCTCTCAAGTCCTCTGGGCTCCAGGCTGTCCACCCCAGACACTGGAACCAAAAGGCCTCCATCCCCAATGCCCTGACCTCTCTAGTTACCCCAGTGGCCTACACAGATGAGGCCAGGAAGGRCAGCCTCTAGGCAGGAAGGAGCCCTAAGACCAGGATCCCTGAGTGTCCCATTGGGTCTCTCCTTATGCCTCCATGCCATTTGACATGGGCTATTCTGGGTGTGAGGACATGTGCCTGCCACAGCCATGCTCTATTCCCATAGATTATGCAGACAGCTGACACTCAGACCAGCATGGACATCAGGCAACTACTGTAGTCAGGAGGCTTCATACAGAGATTACAACCTGGAGTCCAGGTCAGAGATCTAGAGTGGTGGGAGCAGAGGGATGCCAGGAGACAACCCAGAAGCAGCCTTGGGCCTCCAGGGTCAGCAGGTGCTGAGGGGTCTGTCAGCTGACCTGGGTGCAAAGAGGAAAGGCTCCCAAGCCTTAGCCCTACATCTCCAGTCTAAGCACAGAGCAAATCCCTTTCTGTGAAAACTCTGCCAGGCCTTTCATGTTCYCAGGCTGTCCCCCAGCTGTCCTTCAGTTTCCCGCTATAGCCTATGTCTCAGGTGTAAAGTCTGCCAGAGCCTGCCTCAGAAACACCAACCCTGACCTGTGCCTCCAGAGCTCTGTGGATCTTTCTTCTGCCTTGGTGCCCTCTTGTTTCCCGGACACACCCTGGATAGTCCTTGTGGTCCTCCACACACATCTTCGTTTCCACTCCCCTCTATTTCTGCATCCCATGGCCTGTCCCTGCTGCCCTGTTCYTTATAACTTGTGCTTTCTAGGACAGAAGCATTGGCTTCAAAACAATCCCAGACACCAAACACCTATCCTTGGGTTCAGGTAATTTTGTGCGTCTGTGTGTGTGCTGCTGGGGTTGAACCCAGGACCTTTTGTGCATGTTAGAAAAGAGCTCTACCACTAAGCTACATCCCCAGCCCTTTTTAAACATTTTAATTTTCAGACAGGGGTCTAAGTTGACCAGGCTGGCCTTTGGAACACAGGGTCCTCCAGCCTCAGTCTCCTGAATAACTAGGATCACAGGTGTGCACCTCTGTTTCTGGCTCCAAGGAATATCTGATAAGACCACTGGTCCTATACCATCAATCTTGTCCAGTAGGAATGGGGATCCTAAGGGATCCCCAGAACTGGCCAAAGCTTCCAGTTATCTCCTTCACTAAGCATTTTGTTACAGACCCCCTTGCTCAGTGAAGATGCCCTTGATGTCAGCTTATTGGACCCTGTGTGCTACACCTGGTCAGAAGCTCCCAGGTATGAGCAGCAGGAGGCAGATCCCAAGAGCCAGTGCAAAAAAGATCTAGGCCAGTACCCACAGGTGCAGCCGTGATGGCACAGTATCTAGGGCTTTGCTTGTTTATCACTGTAATCAGAGGAACCTTTCCAGGCCAGGCCTTCCTCAGGAAGGCTGCAGCACACTACAGATCCTGAGCCTCCAACATGCATTATTCCTGAAGCCTTTTTACAAGATGCCAGCAGGGCAGCTCTGATGGAATTTTAGGGATAGCACCCAGGGTTAACCACCCTGGGCTAACCACTAAGCACTACAGGCAGGGACGCCAATGAGGCATTTCACTTTTTTTTTTTTTTTTTTTAAACTGGGGATTGAACCCAAGGGAGCTTTACCACTGGGCTGCATCCCCAGCGCCCCCTCCCCTTCAGGCTCAGGTTACCCCAAGCTATGACAGGTCCTCCGATAAGGCACACTGGGTCCAGGGCTGCTTCTAGGACAGGCAGAGGCCTCAGAACGMCAATGATCAGCAGCTGAAATGACTCTCAATCTTCACATCCAAACCTGCAGGTCAGTTTTGCTCCTCAGGGAGCAGGATTCCCCATGTCCTGCTGTAGTTTCCATTTGTGCTGGGTAGTAAACTGAGTGTTCTCAGATCCTCTCGAAGGGACGCAAGGCCTGGGCCAGTTAGTTTCCTCCCCATGGCTCTGAGGCTAAAAAGTAGCTTTCCCCAGCTAGGCTCCCTGGGTCAGAGTTAAGACCAGAGGCAATAGGGCTTCTACTCTAGGGCTCCCTCACCTGGTTAATAGCAAAAAAGGAAAGAAAAACAAAAGCTGGGGGGGGGGGGATGGTCGCTGCTAGAAAAGTGTGGAGAAAGGTTAAGGCACTGGGCCTGGACCTGCCTCTTCTGGACAAGATCTTAGGTCCCCCAGGTACATAGCCATTGGCTTCTCTCCCTGGAGGCTGAGCTGGGCTTTGGAAAAAGGGGTACCCTCTGAAGCTGAAAAACAGAGCACCAGGACCACTTTGTAGTTTCAAAAGACAATTTTATCTAGACAGGAACCTCTCAAACAGAACACAGAGAAGTTAGGCAGTAGTTATTAAAATACACTCTTGCCAAATGATTTAACATTAGAACATAACAGAGAGCAGGGAAATGTGGGGTGAGCCATCCATCTGAGTCACCCACTCCTGCCTTCCTGCTGAAGGGCAGCCAAATGTGGGCCAGTCTCCCTTCCTCTTCCCCCAATCTCACACCTCTTCCACCTACCTACACTACTTCCTAATATCCTCCAGAGCAGGAAGGGGAAAGAGGAACCATCCTATTTCTTCTTTTGGGATCCAGGCACACTTCACTCCACTTCAGGTACCAGGACACAGGCTAGATCTGTGTCTTTCAGGGGGTCCTGGACTGACGATGTCTACGACAGTAGGAAAAAACACAGGCAGGCCATTCCACGGGGAAGACCAAAGCCCTTTGGCCAGTAGTGCCCAGAGAAAAAGGGCTATGGCTGGTAAACCAAACTGGAATAGGGATCTCAAAACACACAGCAGATCCCACTCTGCCACCCACCCCAC